TACTTGTTTGACTCTAACATTCTCTATACTAATTACACGCAAAACATTTAAAACATACATTTCCTCTATATAGATTATCCGTGACTGTCCTTGTGCATACAATGTGAGCATGTGTGCTAAAAACAAAGGGCCATAAACTTGACAAACTGTCAAAGCATCTTATCCTGCTAATATGAATCTGATGGGGAAGGTCCCGGTGCCAAACAAAAGACTGCTCCAACCTCACCTAGACAAACCAGACTCGTTTTTCATTCAGAAACATCTCTGTAAGCTTTACATTTAGTAGTGAGATTACTTTTTCCAGGAAGTAATAGGTGATCCTATTTCAGTTTGACAGAAGACATTAGTCATTTATAATGGATTATTTTTATATATACTACCCTAACACTGGTGAGTAGTAACTGGAGATGGCCCAGGTACCAATTTTAGTAGAAAATGCTGGATCGGATATTGCAGGGAAAAAAGAATGAATGTTAACCAATCCTGTAACAAATTTAGCCAGAAATAGTATAAATTCACATGTGTGATGTGATGTTGTTAGCTGAGAATTCTTTCCTGTGGGGTAGTAGAATATTTGAGTAGTTTGGGCATGATAGCCTACTTTTAGATGCTGATCTTAAGTGAAGTGCGTCAATAAAAATGGTGAGAAAAAAGAGAAAATTTCGGATCTGTATTGGCTGATACTCAAGGTTTATAATATGGCATTGGTATTAGAGAAGAAAATGTGGTATTGTGTCATCTTTAGTAGTAACTTGTTACATTTATACAGTTCCATGTATGTACGTCCATTTCAGCCCTTCACATTTAGTTCAGCACATGGACTGCTTTGGTGTTGATTGCAACCCTCATGTGTCGAGCTTCAGCCTTTTATTTTACACCAAGGAGATTCCAAAAAGAGAACACCACCTAACAAACGTATTTTCTTATGAATAGAGAAATACAGGGAAATCAGTAATATAGAAAGTTGACCTGACACCTTTTTTCACTCCTATTCAAGTTGTTCAGTAGTTGTCAAGATTACTTTTACTTTGAATCGAAGAAACAATAAGCAACAATACTTTGTTTTATTGAAGAAACAATACCCTTTGGTTTTAGGCTTTTCTACCAGCCTCTGGCGGTTTGTTCTTGGCTTGTATTTTTTATTTTTTTTTAATGACTGATGTGATTATGCTCACATATTCACACCACGCCTCCATGTGGTACCTGCAATTAAGCTTTCTGTTAGCGAACCACTATGAGACTTTGGATGCTGGTGCGGAGATACAAAAGAAAAATGATCATTTGGCGCCATATCAAGCAGCAGGGCCCCTTTCAAAAGCCATCATTTAACAGGTAACAGACCCAGCGTAGTTTTCATTATGGAGGTACTCATTATTTTGTAATTCCTGAGGTCTGATAACTAGCTAATACACTCCAAATGGACGATAGATAGGCCTACAGGTCTTTTTTTTTCCCCTTCCTCGTGTGTATGCTGAATATTTGTTTGGCAGTTACCATAAAGTTCCTTTCATCACGTTCTTACGTACACAGTGAAGCAGGCAGTTAACTGCTGTGTTATTACTCGAGGGGAAAGTTGGAAAGCCGCCCATTAGGCCCGCAGGTCATTAAAGCAGTGACAACAGAGACGGCTGTATCTCATTTGCGCTGTGATCTAGCATGCGCTTTCACAAAAGGCGCCAACATGTACCGCCGAATCGCTCAGAACTTTCCACAATCGAGGTCTAAGCTAATGCAACAGGGGCCCCTGTGTTGTTTTGAAAATCTCCGCAGTGTAAACATTGTATAGATAAATTTTTTTCATGTATGTGGAGAGCGCATTCCTTGCTAGTGAAGACATGTGAGGAGGATAAGCCACAAGGCCTATTATAAGATTGTGCAGAATTACCCTGCCCTCCTCCTTTACACAGGGCCTGACAAGAGGCTGATTGGAGCATCACACCTGCTTTTTGTGCCCAAATTACAGTGTTGAAGTGTCGTTTTTGTGCGGGTGCTCGTTTCTCCCTCTCTTTATCTGTGGTAGGTCAAATGGACAGTTGATTGTAGCATGATGACTGTGATGAATTGGATACCTCCTATGATGATCTTACTCTGGTTTTGTACCACAGTGGTTTTGCAAAACAAGGCCTACCTGCAAGACCTACTAAACCTATTAAGTTTTAGAGGGGAAATGACTTTTGCTGTAAGGGTTATGTTTGTAAGTAAACCTAATATAAATAACCTTGCACTATTTTAGCAATTTCAGTGAAAACCATTCTAAAGGCGCCCTGCAACAATTTCATTAAGATATTAATGCACTATGCTAAGTGCTCAAAGTATAAGCCTTACATGTAAGTATGTTTGTAATCATTTCAGGTTCTTGATTTAATCATGCAAATCTTGCAAAGTTGCTGAAAGAGTTATAGCATACCTACTTCCATAAAGTAAGACGGATGTAGAAGAACATGACCAGCACATGATAAGTCTCAAGACTAGATTAAGGGATTTTTTATGTTATTAATCTGGAAACAATTGCTAATTATCAAAATTAAATGAAATCACAGCCATGCAGTTCATGCCATAGCTGATGTGCAAAGACTTTATTTGCATTTAGTGCACTGCACATATTCTTACCTCTTTCACCTAAACTGAGATCACAAGCAGTGTAAGGATCCTGCATCCACTGCTTTAATGCTATTTAGTATGTTTTAAAGCCCTGAAAATGATCCTCGGCCCATAGCCCTGAATGTCAGCTTAACCTCAAGTCCACAGCCCAGGTGACGCTCTTTGGCAGTGACACAATCTGGCATAACACAGGGTCTTAGTGTGATTATGTCATTACTCTCTGATCGCATGGGACAAGATGAAAAGAATGTAAGCAAGAGGAGGGGGTGGCTAATCCTCCTCAAGGTGTCCTCTTTCAAGACCCTTTCTGTGGGGCTTTGTGAGGGGCTTACACGGCCTGCTGCCCCATTTTTTTGGGGGGGCGGGGGTTGGGGTGGGCGCACCGCCCCTATCGGATGTCCCAGACACAGCGGAGTCAGGCTGGCCCGAGAATGACAGAATCAATGGGCTGGGAAAGAGCTCTGCCAAGGGACTTTAAATATCTCCCCACCTAAACTTTCCCAGGAATTACATCATGGCAGCCTGCCTGTGCCGGACCACAACAAGAGGAAGAATACAGAAAGTAGAAGAAGGAAGAAAGAAAGAAAAATTGAAAGAAAGAAAAGTAATGACAACAATGCTACTAGTGCTACTAATAAGTAGAAGCAAGAGGAACAAGAAAAAGGAGTTGAGGACAGTCGAGTTGAGATAGAGACAGCAGAGGTTGAAAGAAAAGAGTGCAGAAATCTCAGTTGGGTGCAGCCTCCAGTGGACACAGGAGCTGCCCTAAGGTCGTCCACTGAAGAATCTGATTTTACACAGCCAACCAAGTCAAATAAACAGGGTGGCTAAGAGAGAGGATTCCAGGTGCCCAACCCATATGCCTCGATCTACCAAAGGGGCACACTATGCAAAAAATGCTCCTTGTCTCTGACAGCTAGTCTAAAAGAGACAGTGGTTGTTGTGAAGAAGCCTGCTGAAGCAGACTAACCATGAAGTGTGTTGTTGGTGTGGTGGCGGAGATGCTGAGACAGTTATTTGAGAATGCCAACACAATGGGTGGGCCGACAGAAAGGCGAACGTTCCAATGGAAATCCCTATATCTAAACAATTGTGGAGCAATAAACAAACACAGGTTTGAAATAGCAAAACATTTGTCATGGTGGAGCCTGAGGGTATGTATGCACACTTGCATTAGAATTCAGCCGCTGGAAGTGGGCGGTTCATGTTGAATAATGTTACTTAAGCACCCCGTCCAAACAAGTTAATGCTGATTCAGGGAAAGCATCTTACATATTCACTTTTGTGGGGAAAAAGAAGCTAATGGATTATTCTAAGCAACCGCAAAACATATCAGTGTCAGTCTGAATTCCTGTGTCTACAGCTGTCAACTAACACTAACCCTAACTGCAACTTGTTGATGCCCCAATGGCTTAACCAGTAAACAAGCCTTCCTTCACTTACAAAAGGACACTGGAGAGGGGACCCCCACTGTGATTACTAATTAATGCATTGATCAGGCTTCCAAGTGCACATTCCTCACATACCTGAGCCATTCATCCACTCTGACCTTCACACATTAGAGTCTGTTCTCTCTCTCTATCTCTCTCTCTCTATCTCTCTCTCTCTTTTTCTCGTCCAGGCAGGGCACACCTGCTCTAACAAGGACTAAGCATTGCCCAATCAAGATTCTCTCTTATGGTCTCATTCCATGGGAGTGACTCTTCATCAAGAAATTGTTGAAATGGATGAGAACATCCCACCAACTTTGCTCTATCTGAGACAAAGCCTCCATAAAAGATACCCAAAACTTGTTACTGTAACTGTGATGGTCAAACACAAGCGGTTAGATACCTGGTTTTCTGATGATTCTCCAGATAGTCTTTATTTAAGACACATTAAAAAAACAATGTTTCTTTTAAGGCATTCCTGCACGATCTTGAGAACCAACGTGGCAACCTGGTGTTAAAACCCTGCATCATCCCACATTTTAATAATACTTAATAATACACTTTGTACAATTCCTTAACATGCAAAACACAAAAAGTATACTATGCATTATACATATATGTGACAGTTATTTTCCTGTGTCAAGTTCTGTGAGAGAAAGACTCATTACCCACATCTAATCTCTATTACCTACATCTAGACTCATTTCCACATCCTAATGCTGGGGTTCCCAAGCCTGGTCCTGGACTATACCTGCCTTGCAAATTTGAGTGTTTTCCCTGGTATAATGTACCTGATCCGATTAGTCAGTTAACACCAAGAAGCCCTAAACACACTGCAATGCTGGGGACAGGCATTCCAGGACCAGGGTTGGGAACTGTGGTCATAAGGCACTCCGGCAGCATACACCCACAGAGAAAGGTAAGACAGGCTGCTGAAGAGACTTAGAAGAATGAGACAGAAGCTGTTACCTTTGTGCCCTCATCCAGCTCCTCGCTGTTGGAGAGTGTGGTGTTGAAAGCCTCTGTGTGCTGTGGGGTCAGCTCTTTCTGCTTCTTTCGCACTTTCTTTGCCTCAGCCCCTGCCTGGAACGTTTCCTGGCTCCATAGCACCGCCGCCAGCATGGTCAGCACCCAGAGGCGCATCTTCAGCTCCCCCAAACCAGCCTCCAACAGGAACAGACAAAGCTCTTGTATCCTAGGGATCAGCCTCCTTCTCAGGGGCACAGTGGACCACACTGCTTAGGACAAAACCAAGGCAACAGCTGAAGTCTCTGGTGCTTGACTGTGGTGTTTTGTTGTAGTGAACCAAAATAGTGTGAGAGGCAGGCAGTTTGATTCAAGCAGGCTGGTGGCAATGATGTTCAGATTTAGCTAGTAGGGTTCAGCAAGGTCCTAGGGTCCAGGCTAGCTGTGCGGCTTACTCGACTGTGAAAAATGTCAAGTGGAGGAGTCCCAGGGAGTGACAGATCACTGCTGGTCTGACAGCAAATAAACCCATTAGTGAGATTTTTCACGCTTCCTGCCCCATGGGGCGAAGGGGGGTACCACAGGGCGCCTGCAGAGGAGGGGCCGGGGATGAGGCCGGCGAAGGAGGGGGCCAGAACTCAGTGGGTACTCAGATTCCCTCGCTCTTTGGTACTCAGATTCCCCTGCTCTTTCTCTGGCTTTGTGCCTGCCTCGGGCTCAAGCCGTACAGCAGACTCTCTCCGGGGCTGCAGTCAGGGATGCAGATGAGCTGGTGGTTCTGTGGCAAACAGCACGTAGCCTTTTGCCCATCTGTCTTCTTGTCTGATTCCTTCCCGGGGCCGAGGTGCAAAAACAAAAGTCCTTAGGGAGTTGGAAGTTGGAGCCAGTCCAGTTGTCTTGGCCTTTGGCCTTCTTTCAGCTTTGGTTCCCCACAGAGAAAAATTGGTCCCCTGCAGCCGCCTCCAACAATTTTAACAACTTCAAAGAGGAGAGGTACTTGACAGTGGTGATTGTGATGATTTCTCCGACCCTCTTAGTCGCTGCCACTTGCGCGCTCAACTCAGCAGCCCCTAAGTCAACAGCCAACTCCAGCAGGGTGACAAAACCGCAAGCACACTCGCTTCTGAGTGCAGCCTCTGTCTGGACTGCGTGGTGGGTCCTGCCTACTCTACGCCTGCTTGTTTCGACACACTTGCTTTTTCCACTCTCTCGTACTCCTACGCTCCTGCTCCCAAACTCCCTGACTAAAGCTTACAGGAGGGCTCACAGCAGAGTTTATCACACACACTCTCCCCTCCTTTCTTTCTCTCTCTCTCCCAGTTCTCCCTCTCTCTCTCCCTTTCTCCTCCCTCTCTTTTCTGATTCCCCTTGGCCTCCCCTTTCCTCATCAGTAAAATTGGCAGCCCCACTGGGTTGCTCAGCCCTGTTTTATCTCACAAATGAAATGTTCAAGTGAGAGCTCAAGGGAGAGTTCTTTGGCAGACTCCAGGGGATATGTGTGTGTGTACACATGTTCTATTCTACTCCAGACTAGTGCTCACATATATGTCCTAAAGCACCAGAGGATTCAAACAACTCGTAAAGAAAAGCCTCAGGCGCAATTTTTGTGCCATCTGACATTTAACTAATTGCAAAGGAACAAGGGTTGATTTCTCCAAGTGGCTGGAGCCAGTGTGCTGAATTTCCTTCACTTTTACAAGGAGTCACTTTAATGATCTGCTGCCCTGAACTGTGTCAATGAGCAGTCACACTGAACAGACAATAGCACAGACCTCTGGGAAGAAACATTCTACTTGTCACAAGTATTATTTTTCTCTATTATCTTTATTGGACGTGTCTCTTTTAGGGACACAGTTTATTCAAGAAGACTAAATAAAGTTCACTGAGTCATGGAAAACGTAAACATGTCAGTGCCTATATGTCTCGGTTGACTGGGCCGAAAATAAACCTATGTAATTGATGTTATAAGCTCAAAATACTACTGGCTGGTTTCCTAGACCCAGATTAAGCCTAAACCCACACTATGAAGCTTCTTTTAGTCCAAGATATAGTTTTAATCCACCTCAAAATCACCACATTGTGGTGGAAGATCATGTATCATTACATTTGGTTATGTTATTGGTTCTAAACCACTAAATATCTATTTAGAAGCTCTTTCATTAATACTCATTAATAAAAAATCAAGTTATTTTGCTAAAAGACACTGAGTAATCTTTATTAGGTGGGCCAAATGTGTTGTACCTATGAGCTTCAGAGCCAAGCATAAATGTGGTGCCAGTTAGGAGACATCAGTGCTCATAGTACTATAACGCCCTCTGGTGGATAACATTGAATAACACATTCAGCTCAGTTTAGTGTTGTAAAAGGCCCATTTGAATTCATGAGGAAAAGAAGAAAAGAAACAAAATCTGAAAAAGAATGGACTTATCTATAAAGACTAGGAAACCCCCCAAAAGATTACAAAATCGTAAATTCTGTCAAACTGATGAGGCTAAGGGATGCAGTGCTGCACTACAGAACATTACATAACATGACAATTACATATTAAAGTTTAGGGCTAACGTTTATAAGAGTAGGTTAGACAATGCACAAGTTTAGTCTGACAAACTACTTCATAATTTGAAATGAAAGAAACAGAAAAGAAGTCAATAAATATTTTAATTTGGGTAATGTATGCTGTATATACTGTACCACATAGACAAGTAACTTGTCTCTCCCAGCTGTATCTGCTAATGCAATTCTGTGATATAGAAGGCCTGCAAACAGGGATTCACACAGGTATTTGATGAAAGACCACCAGCCATGTCTCCACCATCTACTGAAATCTTAAGCAAATTGTACACCTGTACAACAACAGAAAAAGCAAATCCACACAACGATTATTGTCAATAGCCTGGTCATCCTGAAATTGCTGACAAGCACTCTACCGCAGTCTATGCTGTGTAGAAATCAGCCGGAGGAGCACACCAAAGCATAGCAAAGGCACACCAAGTCCAATCAGGGCCTGCAGCAGGTCAACCGTAGTGTGGCCAACCGTGTATGGATGAGGGCAAATCCTGTTTGGATTTTACAATACCTCCAAAATCAGCAACAAACAAGACCAGCCAAAGACTTCATGGTACACTTTACAGGTCATATTTCTGAGCAGGTCGGTCCAAGGCTGTGTGTAGGATGTCATGACAGTGAAGCTATTGCAAGTTGTTATGGTGCTGTTGTGGTCAACAGTAGGAGAGTGGAAAGTTAAATAATATAAGTTTAATTTAATTGAACTTAAATTTCTACCAAACAGCAAAGCAGCTCTAGATGGCCAAACTGAGAGGGTTTGACATATACATTTACGCTTAAAGCATTTTGCAGACATTTTTGTCCAGGGGGACTTACAAAACTGCTTTGCTTTCCATTTAGAAACCATATCCTGTCTAATCCAAGTAGGCTACAGTCTAGGAGATACCCTTGAGCTAGGATACTGCCAAAACCAAGAATCAGTGCTGATGCCTAGATTAAAAGATACATGATACCTGATACCTAGATACACGTTTTGGACTGAGAAAGATTTGTTTTAATTCTATTCTTTCTATTAGTTCTAGTGTCCTTTACTGGTGCAAGTCAAAGATTACACTATAACTATGTACTCTCTGTGACACTGATTGACTGAAAAAGGCTAGGTGGTGCCATATCGCTAACATCCACGACAAGTCCAAAAGTTGGTAGACACTTGCTTATCCAACATTTATTCCAAAGGGTATCAAGGGTATTTATAGTGTTTTCCTGTTCTTTGCTGTAGTAACAGCTTCTACCTTCCCTTGTCTTGGAAGGCTTTACACTAGACAAAGATTGCTTCAATTGCATTCAGCCACAAGAGCATTAGTGAGGTCAGGTCCTGACGGTGGATGATTAGTTCAGGCTCACAAACACCACTCTGGCTCATCCCAAAGGAAACTGATGGAGCTCCATAACTCCTGAAAATGCAGCTCCACTGCCACTCAGCCTAATGCTGGGTAACCTGCCCTGCTGTTTTGCTGTGTTCAGTAGCGCTGGGCTGGCAGTTTCCCCTTGCTGTCTGTTCAATAAAAGAGCATTCGCCAGTAAGCATAATGTTTCCCGTGTCTTGTTGTACGCCGAAGCCACAATGCTATATTCCCCCATGCTAGTGCATAGTGACGTAGCCAAATATGAGAAGATGTTTCAAAGGTGAGTCAAAGTCACTAACTATTGATGGAAGATTACAGAAAAACAATCATTTTGTCTTTCTTATTGATATGACATGATGAATCTTGTCCTATATGTCACTGATCATATTAAACAAGATTCATAATGTCATATCATTAAGAAAGATAAAATTATTGGGCCTCATTCTTAACAAGAACGTGCTGCTTAAGAACACGTCACTGATCTGATGTAGACTTTTTCTGAGGGCCTTTCTCGGGACCAAATTCAAGAAAAAACTCGGTGAATGGGGCCCATCGTTTTAAGAAAGGGACTAACACAGTAAAAACGGTGATATGGTCGCTGGGTTCATTCATTAAAAAGAGTGGCTAAATACTTTTTAATATATGGTGTAGCTAACTAGCTATCGAAATTATTGACTTCAGGGAAATCATAAGATAATTAGAGGGATTTTAAGCACACCTGAACCATACAGTGCCATTCGAAAACTGCCCCAGTTCATTGATTGGCCATAGGAGGCGCCACTGACCATAACGCACTGAACCTGTTTTAACAGAAGAAGACACAAAGTCCTGACAACAACCAGAAATGTTTAGTTCCTGAAAAGAAAGCTGGCTTCATAACTGGATATCTCAGTCGCGCAAGCGTCCGCATCTGACTCTGTGAAGGAGGTTGGGCAGACACAGGTAGGTAGAGTCCACCGCAGAGCAGCGCCCGCTGACCGGCCACGTGTACAGGAACTACGCGAGCTGTAAACGGAGTTCAGTCAGGTTCGACGTAGAGCTGTAATAGTCCGCAAAGCCTGTCAGAACAAGCCCGTTTAAATCTTCATTTACCCGTTTCTGTTCATTCGTTGAGGGTCTGTTTCCGAGCAGGTGGGTTGTTCCCTGTCTTTTCGCTGAGTGGTCATTTATGAGACGGTTATTTATCATTTTGTTTAAGGACGCTAATGTAACGGCTAACATAGAAACGTTTATTTCTCTGGTGAAGCTCTGACAGGACAAGCTAAGCTAGCCAGCGTTTTTAAGCTGATGTAACGTTATACGCTAGCTCTGCTGACAGCTAACTCCATATGCGACTGAAATTGGTATATAATTTGATCAGAATTAGAACAAAACACGGTTTTAATGGCTGCATTTCTACACTGTATGACCAAATGCTTATGGTTATGTTGCTGGATGACCTAGCTAGCTAACTAATTTAGTTAGCTAGCAAATTAACGAAGCTTAAGTTGGCTTCGTGTTTTCCAGCTTCTTGTATCTTATTTTCCCGTTCCACCTTAAATGACGCAGCAGTTAGACTTTGGCCTGAGGCGCCAGAATGTAACTGCTGCGCCATTTAAGGTGGAACGGGAAAAAACTAGAAGCTAGCAAACAGAAAGCCAACTTCAGCCTCCCGTCTTTATATATTATTCCGAAGCCTACAGCAGGTTCATGAGCTAAAATGTTCTCTGTGTTTTAACAGTGTCCTCCACTGTCCGTAAGGTGTGATCTGGAAGTCATGTCCACCAGAAGGAGAGCCCGAAGCGGGCACCTGGCTGCTGCCTCCTTCGCCCTGTTTGTCTTTCTTTTAGTGGACGTTAACGCGCGGCCCGCGAACGTCTCCGTCCACAAGGACAAAAACCCGGACAGCAAAGAGACGAACGAGATCCTCCCTCCCGACCACCTGAACGGAGTCAAAATGGAGATGGACGGCCACCTGAACAAGGACTTCCACCAAGAAGTGTTCCTGGGGAAAGAAATGGAGGAGTTTGAGGAGGACTCGGAGCCCAGGAGGAACAGAAAGAAGCTGATTGAAATCTTTACCAAGTAAGTGTAATTTAAGGTCATTTCAGTAGCGTCTGGTTCATCTGGACAGTTTGGCAGAAGGGTAGAGACTATGATCAGCCATGCCGCATTGATTTAATAGTGCATGTGGAAGATCTAAAGGAATGGTTCACTGAAATATGAAATGTGGACGATCAGCCAAGTCATCTCTGATGTCTGAAGTAGTTGAAAAGTAATGTCAGGTTATGTGAGCCAACATCTTATTGGGTGACACAGACTTCTATAATATTAGCCTGCATCAGCTTTGTAGCTCCAGTGCAAAACATCAAACATCAGACATGATCTGGCCCATCATCTACGTTTGGGGTATAGGGGAGATTTTGTAAATTTGATTTGTCGGTAAACCAATTCCTTAAAATGCGACAAAAAGGAATATGACAACATATATTATAATATGATAACGGTTTTTAGTCACTACACATCTGATGGCCTTTGCCACCTTGTTATAGTGAAGCACATTCTTGTCACATTCTCCAAAAAATCGAATTATGATAATCCAGTGCACGTTTTGGTTCCTTACCTTCTGTGCTGTTACAGTATGTCAGCTTAGTTTTATTTGATTCAGTATAATTTTTGTCTATGCTCTTGGCAGGGTTGATTTCAATAAAGACAGAAGTGTCAGTGCTAAGGAGATGCAGCGATGGATCATGGAGAAAACGGAGGAGCACTTCCAAGAGGCAGTCAGAGAGAATAAACTCAGCTTTCGTGCTGTAGACCCAGATGGAGATGGTGAGCTTGAAGTTGCAATCCTTTTTGGACTGTTTACGTTGCAGTAGGGCTGCTTTTGTTAATGGCTGTTGCATTAATTAGGGATGCATTGATACCGGTACTGGTATCTGATATAGGCCTGATACCATGCTTGTTTAGTTGTACCCATAAAAATACTCTCATGCCAACATCCAGTACAACCTGAAACCTGATATGTGATGTAAGCTCTGAACGAGAGTGAACCATGGCAGTCAGACACAAAGTTGTTGGTCACTTTAAACATTCTGACTTGGTGGTGGGGTGGGTGGAGACACAGAGGCTAACAACACAGAGGTGAAAAACATGGAGGTGATCAACATGTTCTACCAAAAACCTTGTATGCTGACTATACTCTGTTTGACTAAATAGAATTATGAGGTAAAATCGTTAAAAGTGATTTTTATTTTTTTTAACTGTAAATAGGCTGAATAAAGAGACCATATTGTCCTACCAGGGTACATCATCTCTTGCTTAGTTTCAGTGCACATTGAGGTTAGCAAAGCTGCTGTAGTTCTGTTTTTCAGCATTTTTGCTGAGTACTTGGGTGCGTAGCGTGTTGTTTTGAATGAAACAGCTTCATCCACAATTGTTCATAGACAGAGCTTTCTGCAGGGGCTGCATTCCTTGTAGCATTTCAGTCTGACCGAGCGTTTTCATACAGTGCGCGTCTACAAATTGTAGGCTTTTTCTGTACAAGATGGTCTATTCAAATGTGCTGTCTGAGTTACCAGAGAACAAGATTTTTAAAATCGCAGTGTTTGCCTGGCTTTAGGGTACATTCAGCTACAGCTAAGCAAGTCTTAACTCTAAGTAAGTTACTCAGTATAGTATCAGAACTAAAAACATACACACGGTCTAAACATACACACGGTCTGAAAACAATGGTATTGATGCATCCCTAATGCAAATATGCCTCTAACCAGTCACTGATTGTTTTACTGTGTGGATCTATAACAGTCACGGTTATAGATGAGTAATTCTGTGGGTGTTTGGATACAAGGCATTCATGTGTTCCAACAAACATAAATCATACTGATCTAAATAATGCAGGCCAGTCTTTAACTGTGTCACATCAACACACCACCAGTGTGTCTGTAGTGTATTTGAAAGTTTGCCCTCTGAAGTCATGTCGTCGTTTTGTAGTCTGTATCATGTCCGCATTAGGAACTCCGGGTCTAAGCTGGCTTTCTCTACGATGGAAATTAGTGGTGTTTTCGAAGATCTTCACTGTTGCTTCCTGTGGTAAACAAAAATGCCTCAAAGTTTATACATTTTGTCTTTTGTAGATTTTTTTCCTTGTCACTGAATCATTGTGGTAGTTTCTCAGTCAAAATACAATACTAATTGTACTAATACAAATAAACATAAACTTCTTATATAGCAACACCAGCTACTTAAGCTACAGCCTAAAACTGTCAAACTCTCTAAATTACCACATTTGATAAAACTTGCTGGTTTGAGGAGTGTTTTGTTGTGGCGGCCAGTTCAGTAATGTCAATACAGTGCACAGCGGTGTCAGCTTGCATGTACTAATAGTAGGTCCTTGACGACCTAGTAATTCAGAAGATCTGGTGACATTCAGCAGAAAAATGTCTGTATAGCAGAATAGATTGACACAGGGCGTGATGGTGATTTTCCTAAACACCATTCAGTTCTTTCACAGAGAAAAATGTCTTAGAACCGTTCCTAATACAGGCCTGAGAGCTTGAGAGGTCTGTGTGAAACAATATAATCACATGATATTTTGTCTATAATGTGCAGTTCTCAGGCCCACAGACCTGTAACTCATTTCACATTTGGCATAAATAGTATTTAGATATTGTTTTCATCCTGTTTAACTATAAAACATGCAAGGCAGTGGTTCTCAAACCAGTTCTTGGGGCCTCCATGCAGTCCACATTTTTGCTCCCACCTAACTCACAGGCCACAGGCAAAAATGTGGACCATCTGATAGAACCAGTTTGATAAACACTGAAGGTATTTACCACAGATTTATTTATCTAAAACGTAAAGTAGGATATAGAGTTTTTCTTCTGGGTCTCTTCTGTAAGAGGAGACATACCTTTGGTTTTAACATAATGGCAGTGAATGCACCCAAAACTACCACTTGGGTCAAGGCAAACCACAGGATTTTCAACCTTATCCACTCCAAATTGTGTTCTCTCAGGATATGTGACGTGGGATGAATACCGGGTGAAATTTTTGGCCAGCAAAGGCTTCAATGAGAAGGAAGTGGCTGAGAAGATAAAGAATAATGAAGAGCTCAAAGTGGATGAGGAAAGTAAGTGAAATGTAACAGGTGTGCTGCACAGACCACTACACTGCATCTGTACGTTCATCAGTTATAACTATACCATTGATTTTTTTTTTTTAAATGCCCACAGCCCAGGAGGTTTTGGAGAGTCTGAAGGATCGCTGGTTTCAGGCAGATAACCCTCCAGCTGACCAGCTGCTGAATGAGGAGGAATTCCTCTCTTTCCTCCATCCAGAGCACAGCAGAGGCATGCTCAAATACATGGTCAAGGAGATCATCAGAGACCTAGGTAAGCGTGGTCGTGGCTGTTCTTCAATCATGTTCAAGTACAAGTTCAGTAAATCTTTATTGAAGTATTTTTGCAGTTTGGTTTGAATGCAGCATAACTTTATAACAGATAAAAAAACATTCTTACTGTTAGTGTAATGAGATTTTATTCTAAGTATTTTTGGACTGTTTCTATGCTTGATTAAATGTTCAAGGTCAGCTGGTGTTTGCAAATGGTTCTTGTTCTGTTTGTGCCTAATGCAGTTTTGCTGTCACTTAAATCCTCTGTGTTTCAACTGATGTTTTCGCCAGATCAAGATGGAGATAAGGAGCTGACCCTGTCTGAGTTCATATCCTTGCCCAAGGGGACAGTGGAGAACCAGCAGGCTCAGGACATTGATGATGACTGGGTCCGCGAGCGGAAGAAGGAGTTTGAGGAGGTTATTGATGCAAACCATAATGGCATAGTCACTATGGAAGAGCTTGAGGTGGGTCTTTTTTTGTATCTCCTTTATGGAGCTAGCATCTCTTGCTGTTTTTTCCTAATAGAAATGGACAGATATAGGGATGGTATTTGCTTGCTTAATGTAGTATTCTAAAAAGTCATATGTAGTTCATTGAATTGAATTAGAATTTTTGAATTAAAAAAAAAGAATTATGTATCTTGCATCTGTAGGACACCACCAGCTGATATTTCATGTCAAATTAAGTCAAATGTAAGCGGAGAAATATATAGAAATGTTTAGAACAAATACATGATTAGGATGGGTCAGAATGTTTGAGTATTCAAATGGTTATTAAAGTTTAAAAAAAATCATAGTCATTTTTTTATGTGCAAATTAGTGTTTCTCTGACATTATGTGTTCAGATTCAGATGTCTGAGTTCAGTACCCTACTGGAATGCAATGAAGAGCCTGTGTCTTATGTTTGGTCAGGGATTCTTATCTGTTTACTCTAAAAAAGGAGGCATAGAAACACTACTGCAGCCAGCTAAAGGCTACTGCACACCAGACAAGAAGCACCAGGTCTCTGGTGCTGGGTAGCAGAGGATACAAAGTGCAGCAGTGTTTATAAAAAAGAAGCTTAAGTTCATTTTACATTCCACTCAGATAGATTTACTGGAGTCAAACTTTTAGTGTTTTAGTATTTATAAGGTTGGTTGTAACTACCTAACTTTTCATAAACTTGCTTAAAGTAGAGGTATGACGTGAAATAAGTCATGACGTGACTTGGCTAGTAACATTAGTTGAGGTGAAAACTAGCATTTGTCTGTGTATCTTTAAAGACTTGAGAGTGACACTACTATGCAGTTGTGCTCTAGGTTTAATGTAAACCAGTAATGGGAAGATGATTGATTGATTGATTGGGTGATTAATTTAACTATTAAATTAGACTGAAATACTCATCCCTAATAGATTTAAGTGAGCTACTAGCATGTTAAACCACATACATCTAAAATGATTAGGTACAGATCATGCTAGCTGCATGCAAAAAATAAATGTAGAACCTTTCTTTTATACATAACAATATAAAATGTCTTTTCATTGAAATATTTGAATACTACTCAAGAAAAAAAATGGTTGAAGTGTTCATCTCTACTTTCTAAGCACCAACTCTGCTATCTTTTCCCTCCTGCAGGAGTATATGGATCCCATGAACGAATACAACGCCCTGAACGAAGCGAAGCAGATGATTGCTGTGGCTGACGAGAACCAGAACCACAGCTTGGAACTGGAGGAGATTCTCAAATACAGCGAGTACTTCACTGGCAGCAAGCTCATGGACTACGCCCGCAACGTGCATGAGGAGTTCTAGGACATTCTCCTCAGTCCCTCAAAAATAAGAAAAGGAAAAAAAAAACAGAAAACAAAACAAAAATCTTATTCCGCCCAACAGCTAAACAGGCAGACATATGTACACACATTCCCGAGGATTGGGTACGTTTTTGTCTGCCAGGGTTTGGAATGGCCTATTGGAGTGAAAATGAGTGTGTGTGTGTGTGTGTGTGTGTGTGTGTGTGTGTGTGTGTGTGTGTGGTTGCTTGTAGTAGTGCCTGTGTGTTAAAGCCTCTCCTATGTCTCAGTGCAAAGCATTGAGATGTTTATGATATTCCTCCTTCATAATCTCATGCAGCACACCGCCACTCTGTCAGGTTCTGCCTTCTGTTGGAGCTGCCCTTCTCAAACACTGTGTATCATGGCTTTTCAGCTCATTTTAGACACTGTGTCACTTTCAGAAGTCATTAGAGAGTTGTTATTTAGGGAAATGTATGTATATGAGGAGTTTAGAGGAGGAAATAATGGCTTTGAGGTAAAACCAGGAATTATGTTTTCCTCAAAGTGTAGAAAGGAAATTGCAAAAATTAGAAGTGATGCATTAGACAATTATGTAAATAATATTGTTTCTGTGGAAATGCCATGATATACATCCCTTAGACTCCCACCAGGAGTTGCTGCTGATCCTCTAAAGTTACTATTTTCACCAAGGTTTTGCATCTTGAGCTGGGGACAGTTCAAGGGCTGACAACAATATAAGAGAACAGTAAAGCCAAAAGTGTAAATTATAACACGTATGTGTATATATGCATTATAAATTACCTATCAAACTGCTACAGTGAATTAAATCAGATTAAAGATGTCTAGAAAAGTAGCTGCATAGACAATGTGTATTTTTCTTAATTGAGAAAAGAATTTTCTGAATTGAGAAAAATCATAACTGATTTTTTTTTTTTTCTTTTTTCAAATTTTCTGCATAATTCTGTTGGCTGAGATGTAAATAGAGCCAAAGTGGTTTGATGTGAAATTGTGCATTGAGAAACATACAAACTGTGCACACATAGCCGTTTTATTTATTCTCTTTTGTGTTGAGTTTATATAATATATTGATAATGGTACAATAGCGATAATTTTTTTTTATTTTATTTTTTAATACATAGGTTTTGATACATATGGTTTAGGCCAAAACCTTATCTCAAAACTATGTGTTTGGCATAATGCAGTGTATTTGAAACCAGTTCAGGTAAATAGGTCCTTGTGAGGTCGTTACAAGTCGCATTAAACACCGACGTCTTGGACTGGGTTAGTTTATCCAGAATGGCATGTTTCACACCAAACCACTGTTACTTTATTTAAATCTAAAGCTTTTAATTATGAAGAAAATTTGAAAAATATCTTAAGCGGCCGCTATTATTTGCACATTGTGACAAAAACTATGGACCGAAAGTCCAGTTACTCTTAGAGAAACTTTTTATTTTAATGGCAACTTTATACGATGCAGCTCTTTATTCATGGTACATTCAACGTCATCCATCAGCCTTTTATCCTCCAGAGGTGGTGCTGGTGTCTTGGCTGTTGTGGGAGATTTCTGATTGATTTTCTGGCAGTGAATCTGAGAGGTTGATCTAGAACCAGTTGGTTTTACTCTCAGTAGAATAAACAGCATAGCAGCTCTGGAAACAACTCACTTGTCTTTTTTTAACTCAGAATTCAAATGGAAGACCAACTTGTTTTTTTTTTTTTCTCTTAAATAGGACTCACCATACACTATATGTCCAAAAACTTGTAGACACAGCTCATCTAGCATTTCTTCTGAAGTCAAAGAGTATTAATAGGGAGTTTGTTCCCCTTTGCAGCAGTAACAGCTTCTACTCTTCTGGGAAGACTTTATGCGTTGGGTCACTGCTGTGAGGATTTGATTGCATTCAGCCACAAGTGGTGTCAGATACTACTCATCTCAAAGGTATGGGATGGAGTTCTGTCACTCCAAAGAACCCAGTCCCACTGCTCCACAATCCAGTGCTGGGGGCGTTATACCCCTCTAGCTGCTGCTCGTCATTGGGCATGGTGACCTTAGGCCCGTGTACGGATGCTCCAGAGCATCACATTTTATTGGCAGTGCTTTTCTGAGGAGATTATACAAGCTGTGTTGGCATAGTTGTACATCTGTGTTAGCAATGACTGCACTTTAAAGTAGCTGAATTCACAAATTGAAAGGGGTGTCTGGATACTTTTGGACATATAGTGTATGTCAAACTCTTAAAATTGGACTAAAATCTTGTGCATGAGCTCTTTGGTGAAAAAGGGCTTTCAGTGCTTACTGTATACAAATTGGAATGTTTAGGTGGAAAGTAAATAAATTTTTTAATTATCCAAGCAGAACCTCATTTAACGTGGATACCTGATGTGGACACTCTGATGCTTTGCTAAGAGCTGGTTTGCGTTGTGTTTGATTCTGTACTCATACACTCTGCTTTCTTGGCTAATATGTATTACCTCCTTGTGCATGATTATATGATTTGATGAAGCCATCTATGTACAGTGTATTGACAGTATAATGCCCTAATCCTGTGGAACTGCTTGATTTAAAGCCATTCGTTTGAGCCGTTTTCCCATACTTCCTTCGAGTTGCTGAATGTCTTGAAGCTTTGAAGTTCATTGTATTGCAGTTATGCATTAAACAGTATGTTTGTATGTTTGTTGTACTGTGTACCTTTACACCATGTGCATCATTTCCTGTTTAGGGTAAGGATTATTGAACTGTAGTTATAGCTTCAAGCCCATGTCGTTTTCTTATATTAACTGCAGTGTTTTTGATGTTTTTGCTGTTAACTGGCAGAGAACAAACTGGTCTTTTCTATTGAGAGATTTTTCAAATGGCATTTTCTGCCATTTTCCCTTAAGTTCAGTTGAATTGCGTGGACTGATTTTGGCATAGGTGACGTCACATCTGCCAAACTGCCAGAGTTAGCAGTGTTTGTCAGCTACTCGTCTCACATAAAGCGACTGAGTCCCAGCCAAAACTCCCAGCGAGTAGGTTATTTAGGCTTTTCTAAATTTGTTAAAGGTGCTTGTTACGAAGGTTTACTACACCGCTGTTTGTAGCGTAGCTAGACGCTGCTTCCTACTTGTGTTAGTCACCTGTTACGGGATCCTACTGATAGCTATGATAGTGTTATAGCTACCCAGACAGCAAGCATAAAACAGCCTTTTATTTTGGAAAATACAACAAATATTACAAACAATCGAGAAAGGAAAAAAAATGTATGACTAGGCCTAATATAAAATGATTTTGTTTAAAATGTCATTGCTATGCTATGCTAGACTGGTTACAACTGTATAACCAGCTTTATTTATGTCTGCTAAAAGTTTTCTAAACTGATTTTCAAAGGATAGAAATGAAATGAAGAAATGGAGACAAAAAAAGAAATGAGGGAAAATTTGGAGTGTGGGTAAAATGAGCAATTAAAAGTGCCATTTTGTCTGATACTCTGCTTAACTACCAAGGGCCACCCAAAAACACTGAGCGAAAACCCAGTGGGCCGCTATCCTGTTGCTAGCTGGGTAGCCGTCCATCTTAACTGTAATAAAATTATACTGAGAGTAAAAGTAAACTTACTTGTACTGGACAGGCGTGGCGCACAATAAGGCACAAGAAACATTTCTCCACAGCGTTCGCAGATATGACCATGTCCACTCATGACAGGAGCTCGTGTGACCTCAGAATCGCGGCCGGTGTTCTGACAGATTGTGCTACCATGTCGAAATGTTCTACTGTACCACATATTTTTAGGCAGTGCTCTTCATAAAACTGTAGGTAGGATATTTCAATGGCCTAAATTACCCTATCAGAAAATGCTACCAGCACAGAAATATATAGATAATTTGACAGCCTAAATCTCTTTATCAGAAAACGTTACCAGCATTAAAAGAATATTTAGGATTTTGTAATGGCCTGAATCATCTTACTAGGGAGTAAGTAATAATATTAAGCTGAAGCTGAAACACAATACAACGTTTGAAACAATCAGTTACTACGCCATAGTAATGATATGCGCATGCTCAGTAGGAGCACTGGATGGGTAGGACAAATTGTTAGAACACCGCCGTTAGAGCTAAGAGGCAACCTACTAGCATTTCATTTGCATATTATTTACATTAAGCAGGATCTAATTCATGCAGATGTTTCATGAGCGAGCCAATAAAAAGTCAGCATTCAGCGGCTCGTGAGCCAATAGACCACTGCAGTCGTGCGTCATTCTGTAGTCCTCGTTATGCCCATATTAGGAACTCCGGGTCTAAGCCCCATTTCTCTATGACCAGAATGAATAGGGTTTTCGAAAAGTCGCCTCTATCGTCCCCTGTGTTAAATAAAAATGTTCTGAACCCGATACGTTTTGTCCTGTGCACATTCTTCTCTCGAATATCACTGGATCCTCTGAATTACGAAGTCATAAAAAGCTATAATACCAATATTGCTACATGCAAGTTAAATCCACTGCGCATCAATTTGATGTCACTAAACTACACGAAACCAAGGCGGGCTGTGGCATCTTATCGAAATGTTATACTGTCGCGCATAATTACAGGTAAACCCGTAAATAAAACCTCTAGGTAGGATATTTTGATTGGGTAAAACTCCTTATCAAAAATGCTACCCGTGTTAAAACTAAGAGGCTGAATTTGGCTTTTTTTTTCGCAGCTTCGTGTTTGAACGTTCCCGTTCCACCTTAAATAGTGCAGCAGCTGTGACTAGCTATCACAAACATTAGCAAACGAGACAAAATACTGACCTGTTGGTTCTGTAAAACAGCAAAAATAAGTCAGTGTTACTTAGCTGTTATAAACAAAACGTCTCAGTAGAATGATGTGATTTTGTAATGTGATTATTCTCCTAAACTAACATATTTAAATGCTGCACTGTTGCATTGTAGGAGATGCTTCAGCACTAGCCGGAGGAATTAGGGCGTTGTGGGCCGCTCGAACGTGGTGCTCTGCACTGCCGCTGCAGCCTCGCTGTTTACGTTGCCTGGGAGACGCCGCTGTCAATCATTTTATGTTCTGACACGCCCATACAGTTCTAAACAGGCAGCAGCTCGGAATTTTTATAGCATTTATCTGCTATTGAAATGTATTAATTTACATATGTTTCGTGTAAACCGGTAAACACCTTTTTCCACAGCATATTTGTACTATTAAAACAAAAAATATAAACATATCAAAGCCTGACTGTCGATTTAAAACAGTTAGGGACACATATGAATGAATAAATGAAATGCTTTTCTTTCACTTCCAGGCCCTGTCTATGGACTATGTTAGTCTCACTGAAGAGCCATTAGCTGTCTGACATGTAAACAGTGTTAGGCAGGTATTTGCATGAAAGGAATGTGTTTCGAGGTGAAGCTCACAAAACACAGAGTACAATAGTATGTGAAATATGAGCAGCTCCAGAGCGCACATACAACCCTAGTAAATATTTAAGGCAGGACAAGATTTTGCTGTATTATTCCAAGACCATGGAGCATCAAAAGAAGCACTTTACTGCTTGAGAAAGCTGTTGAAGAGCACATATTTCAGATGACTGTTTTCCATTTAGTGTATAATAATGGCAGGGTTCACAAAAGCTTTCAAAGAAAAAAACATATAAAAAATATTGCAGTTTTGCTGCATTTTGCTTTTGTTAGTTGCTAACAATTATTTTCAGTACTGAGTTCTCTTTTTCAAACCTCTCCACACAGTGCAGCAACACTCTGTTTGGGACCAAACCATGAACATGGTTTCCTGGCTGGAAAACTATGTGTTCTGTGACCACAGTTTTTTTCTGAAATCTTTTCATTCGTTTCTCAGTCTCAGCCTTCAAAGAGGAACTCCACTAATAGTCTAAAAAATTCTGCCAAATTACAGAATTTAGATACAAAAGTCAAACGAAATCATTGAGAGTGGTTTGATGAGAAATGCTTCTTTCAAGAGGAACCTGAATTCAAAATTGTTCACACAGATACGAAAATGCTGCCTGATGTCTAAAACATTGGTTTTCAATAGTTTTGACATAAGGTTTCAGCCTAAAATGTATAAAAGGTATTTTGTTTATCTGTTTTTGGCAGAAAGGTAACATGCAGGGTGTTGTAAGGCAAAACAGTCCCCAAAGAAAAGTTGTTTTTTCAAGTTTTCACTATTTTACCATTATCTGCATTACATATAAAAGCTCAGAAGTCACATGTAGGTTCACTGGTGCTTTTGAATAGTAAATAAAATGGCTATATTTGCGTTGTTGACAATTGAATAGAACAATTGAAAGCTTAAAAGAAAAATAGACTAAAAAAGTATCAGGCCAAAAAGGTCATCAAGTACTGACTTCCCTGAACAAGACTTCAATTGAACATCTTAGTGCATCCAGCATAGTAACTGAAGTTTGTTAGGTACTAATCTTACTGTTTTTGGAATCCATTCGGTCTAAAATAAAATGCTAAAGCTCAAAAGTGAGAGGTGTGAGCAACAGCAAAACAGTCCGTGTGCAGAACTAATGTGAGCTATACATGGTAAAATCCATACATTGCAAAAATATAGAAGAATTATGAGGAATCCATATTTTGTAATTCTAATAATCAAGGCCCTTGTTGCTAGGAGACCATTGTTATTGTCCAACTTGAAATAAAACACAATATGCAAAAGCACATACTTGAAAACATATATTAAACTACAAAAGTCTAGTTTCAAAAGACTAAACTTAATTCTATTGCAGCACAATGTCTTTGAACCTGTCTGACTACTTCAGGAACTACTTTGCAGAAAATCTTCATGACCAGCTCATGTAAGTAGTTTAATCTAAGTTTGATCTAAGTATATATGAGTTATACCAAGTCTGAATTCTTCTTTCTGGTCAATGAATATTGACAATGGTCTAAATTGGGGCTACCCCAAGTGTGCCAGCGGATTAACATTTATAAATAACAATGGTACGTTTGTATATTAGAATGATACTTAAGATGACAGGCTCTTTACTGACTCACAAAGACAAAAAGATTCTTAAGTTGGACTTTGATGAACTGTTTTTAGTGTTTAATGCCATATTTGATTGCTGCACCAACAGGAAGACCACCCCAACAGGGGATGAGATGTTGGCGCCATCATCTCGTCTTCTGCAGAGGAGACGGGAGGCCATAGAGGTCCACAGTGCCATGAAGCTGCAGCGAGAGGTCAGGGAATACACCCAGTTAACCAGCCTGGAGACATTGCTTAAGTAACAGATTGTTGAGTGTTGACAAAAAATGTGGTGCTGATCTCAGATTTATCATTTTCTTAATGAATGGATGCTGAAAGTCTAGCTGAGTAATCTTTTTTAAAGGGGCTGAAAATAAAAAGGTAATCATAATTTAAATTAATAATTGAATTCATTTAATTCATAATAATCATACTTTCTTAACCATTCTAAACATATACACCTCATATAGTGGTGCCACAATAGTATATTTAGAGAAATATGTAGATATCCATGACATTCGCTTTTTAAAGACTGAATCACTGTTTTATAAAGATGAATTGTTAACACCTTCCTTTAAAGACCACTAAACCTACCCAATTAAATGCAGAAAGAATATTTATTAAGCTGCATTTTTAAGACAATGAAATTTGATTGTTTTTCTGTGAGTTGTGAGTGCTGCCGCTGTATTATAACCAATGAAAATCAAAATGTGTGAGGTGTAACTTAGTCCAATCAACTCATCCCAATATCTGCCTTATTTTCTCCATCACTGCTTGCTATCTATCATTGCCTCAAGCCTTCAGATCTTTATCAGTGCACCAATGTTTAAATTTAAGGGCCTATTTGCAGTCAAAAGATGTAGGTGGGAGACCTGTGAAAGTGAGACCCCATCCTAAATCCCCGGGCCAACATTCCTTGGCCACACCACCACCCCCCCCTTTTCCAGGGGACCTATATACTTATATATATTTTTTTTCTTTCACTTCGCTATTAATATCGCAACTCATCGTTTATTAATGATCATATAGATATAAGGTGATGTGGCACCACAACCACCCAACACCCCTCCAAACACCACCCCGCCACCCTCGCACCCGTCCCCTGATTTGAGTGAAACAATGAACAGAAATAACAGATGTATATAATAATAATAATAAATGATAATAATAATAATGACAAACTGGACATACAGAACAGACAAATACAGACACTTAACAAAACAATAAACAAGACAGTAATGCCCCTTTTTTATGTAATTATAACGTGGGTAGTTATCAAATCCTATGTAGGTGTTTTAACCTTCCCCTGATGAGTTTGGAGAGAGAAATCAGCTCTCAATATATTGTAAAAATTGTGACCAGGTTTCCTTGAATAATTTTGTGTTATTTTTAAAATTTGCTGTGAGTCTTTCCAAGTTGCAGTGATCCATGAGGAGATTAAGCCAATGCTTTATCGAAATTTTGGTTCTGTCCTTCCAGTTCAGCAGTATAACTTTTTTGGCAATGGTAAGTGATATGAATATAAAGCATTTGAGGTGATTGGGTGCTGAAAGTGAGGAAAGGTCATTAAGTAGCGCTATAATGGGACATAAAGGGATGACAAGGCCCAAAATCTCTGATAGCCTGTCCATGACCTCTGACCAAAACTGCTGGGTCGGGGGACAATTCCAGAAAGCATGATAGTGGTTGTCTGTTAAAGCTGGACAATGTTGGCATTTATCACTGTGACTAAATCCCATACGGTGTAGTTTAGAGGCTGTGATATATGTTCTGTGAAGGGTTTTATATTGAATTAGCTGGAGTTTTGAATTGCTGGACATAGAGAAGATATCACAGCATATATTTTGCCAGTTGATATTACATGTTTCTTTTATATCTGATATCCATTTTTCAGTTGGGAGTGAGATAGTGTTGTCTTTTGAGGCTATAAGTTTATATATTTGTGATAACATTTTCTGAGGTTTTAGGGAGTGTAGTTTTAAGTAGAGGGGAGGAGTGTGATTGCAGAGATTTCCACTATTAACTGTCTTCTTTAGAACATCTTTGAGTTGTATATACTGAAAGTGACAATTATCTGGTATATTGTATTTTTCTTTGATGTCATCAAAGGTCATGAGCAAGCCACCAGAGAACAACTGTGCCAGGCTGGTTATTCCTCTCTGTTTCCAGGCTGAGAATATGAAAGGTTTGTTATTTATTAAAAACATGGGGTTGTTCCACAAAGGAGTTTGACTAGAGGGAGAGTAGCTGTATTTAAGAATTCTGTTTGAATTCCACCATGCATTCAGGGTGGTACTTATTGTACTGTATTTATAAAATTTTGTTTTTTTTATAGCTTTGTCTATGAATGGGATACTATTAATGTCCAGTTCTTGAATTAAACTTTCCTCAATATCTTGCCAGGGTTGGTTTGAGCTAGTTGTCCAATGTCTAATGTAAAGCAATTGATGTGATAGAAAGTAGTAGTAGAAATTTGGGGCTCCAAGTCCTCCAAGATGTTTAGGTTTCTGGAGGGTAGCTAACTTGATTCGAGGCTTTTGGTGCTTCCAATAGAGCTTAGTCACTGCATTGTCAAGAGAGGAGAACCAGCCTGACGGTGGGGTAACAGGGGTCATAGAAAACAGATAATTGATTTTAGGAAGGATATTCATTTTAACTGCTGATATTCGGCCAATTAGAGATAATGGTAATTTATTCCACCTTTCTAGATTATCCTTTATTTCTTGCATTAAAGGTATGTAATTAAGTTTATACAAATCATTTATGTTAGAAGAGATATGAATACCAAGATATTTAATAGACTGGGCGAAATGTTCAGATGGTATATCATAGACCTCATCATCCCCGTTGAATTTACTTAGAGGCAGAAACTCAGATTTGGACCAATTAATGGAATAACCAGACACCCTGCTATACTTATTTATCAGATCATGAACTGATGGAAGGGATAGTGAAGGGTTAGTAATATACAGTAAAACATCATCTGCATACAGACTGATTTTATGGTGGTATGACTTTGACTGTATACCTGAGATTTTATTGCACTGTCTGATAGAAGCAGCCAAGGGTTCAATAAAAAGACAAAACAATAAAGGTGATAAAGCACATCCTTGTCGACTTCCTCTTTGTAGCTGAAAGGGTCTGGATATATGTCTGTTTGTTGAGACTGAGGCAGAAGGTGAGTTGTATAATGTTTTCTAGGTTATTTTAACCAGGAATGATCAGCCTTTATTGAAACTAACGAACATCCTGACATTACAGCTTGCACACTTTGGGAAACAGCAAAAGTGGTGATGAGAGGAAAAATCATTTCATACTGTTCTAAAAAGAAGAAGGAAGACTTAGTAAAAGAACAAAAGCTGCAGGGGGAGGTGAAGAGATTGGACCTTCTGGCCTCTCAGACTCCTACTGATTCAATTATTAAAGAACTAATGAAAACTAAATACGAACTTAATAATATACTACAAAAGAAGACCAAGCAAATTTGTCAAAGCAAATGTCTACCTCAAAGCATTGAGTCATTAAAGGTTAAGGCATAAATGATTCCTAAGCCTTTACCATGCCCACTGGGGCAGTATGCTTTAGCCTAGAAAGATTAGGTTTAGGTGTGTTTTTAAGTGTTTTTCCTCATCCTTCATCTCAGCTGTCTTATTCTAACTTAGTTATGTCGTCCTCATTGGGCAGAAGTTGTGCCTGTAGTTAGCAGATGCAAAAGTGTTGGTTGGGTTTATGTGAATACAGTGTTCTGGTTGATGTGTACGCAGTCTTGCTATTGTTTAAGGCAGAAACGTCTACTGCAGACAGTTTGTTACTAATTTCAACATTTGTAGATATGCTATAGAGAACCATCACGATGAGTGTAAAATGGTATGTAAACCGATTGATGTCAACGAACCCAATTTATGAATTACATCAACATAATCAACTCACTTAAGTAATGACCATTCTGGGATGGGACCAGCAAATCTAGGATAGCATTGCACCATCTATGACAGATCATAATTTCAAACATTCCAAGAAGAATATTTAGGCTCACATGTGTATTTTTACCTCTGCATTTTTTAGCCTAACATATAAAGTTTTCTTACTGTTTCACTGACTGACCGCTGCTCCTTACAGGATTTTGAGTCCTCTCTGTGGGCGCTGCAGGTGCGTAAAGACAAACTAAAGCAGAAAGAAGAGCAGATGAAGGACTACCAACAAAAGTTTGACAACTTCCTAAAGGTAGTGTCACACTGTAGATGCAAAGGCCTATCTGCTGTAGCTACACTATTCTACAAAAGACTGGAATCAGTACTCTTATTAATAGTTGTACAGTGTAGAATTTAAATATATACTAAGTGCAAAGATGGAATTTTTAAATGTTTAATTCACTATTTTAAGTATTTTGACCACTACTTTTTAAATACGAGGCATTCTGAATGTTAATTTAATTATTAATGAACGTTAACTTTATTCTCGATACTATGCTCTCTTCATCATTCAGGATATTTCTAAAAAAAAATTTCCTTACTCCCTGCTAATCCGTGAATCTGTGAAACTGCAGAGGACTAGCATATTGGATTCACTTTATACAATTATCTGCAACAAAACTGGTTTTACATCTTTGAAAATTGATCCCAAATTAAACCATAATACAACTATGTCTTTCTGTGCTCCATGCAGGATAATGAGGCCAAGCGCTGTCGAGCGATGAGAAAGGTGAACCGGGAGAGGGAGCTGACCAATAAGAAGCAGGCTGACCTCCTGGCCCTGCAGGAGGAGATGAAGTCTTTGGTCAAGGAGCGGGATAAACTGATGAAACGTGTGAAGAAAAATGCCATTTATCCCAGGTTTTTGGATAAAGTGGTGCAGGCCAGTCCACAGGTTAGTCTTTCATTTAAAAAAAACACCTTTTCATATGAATGGAAACCCAGTGTCTTAATTCGTAATTACGAATACATAATAATGTCCTGTTGTAGTGAAGTAGAATTAAAAGTAAGTAAAATGAAACAAAAAAAATCTTAGCTTTTAAAGATTTGGAATCTAACCTAATTCTAGTATGATGCTTGTAATGTGCAACTTAATGTTTCAGATATAAACCTAAATTCACAAAAAGTCTAAACTGCAGGTAGTCAGAATGTGGCTTAGTGTTATCATGTTGAAATAAGCATGGATGTGCCTGAAAAAGACGTCATCTAGAAGAAAGCATATGTATGTATATCCTTCAACATTAATGGTGCCTTCACAGATGTGCAAGTTACCCATGCCATGGCGACTAATACAACCCTATACCATGACAAATCCTGGCTTTTAAACTTAAACTGGTAACAATCTGGATCGTCCTTTTCATCTTTGGCTCCAGACAACACAATGTCCATTATTTCCTTTAACAAGCTGAAAACTTAACTCATCAGATCACAATACAGGTTTCCACTGTGTATTAGTCTATTTCAGATGACCTCAAGCCCAGAGAAGTCAGCAGCGTTTCAAGATGTTGTTGACATATGGCTTCTGCTGTGCATAGTACAGTCTTAATATGTGGATGCAGCAACCAACAGCATTCATTGACAGCCATGTGGTGCAACACAGAAGCCTGCTGGTTTTTAAGGTCACAGGCATTTACTTGTGGCTTTTGGCTTTGCCCTTTCTCCTGATTCCCTGAATGATGCATATTATCATCAAACAAGTAGATATTATGCACTGAAGAGGGTGAAATACCTAAAACTGTTGCAGCTGCTGGTTAAAGAATGTTGTTCTTAAACTGTTGTATCATTATGTTGGATAAGTGGAGAGCCTTGATCTATCCTTGATCATAAAGTATTTCCTGGATGTTCCGTTTATACTCAAGCATGATGGCATCAAGATGTTTTTTGAACATTTCACAATGTTCTACTCTCTTTGGAACATGTTGCTGGCATCAATTTCAGGATGAGTGTATATATACAAAAAACAGTGAAGTTGATCAGGAAAAACATAGTATATCTTGTTTTGCTCAATACAATACAAATCTTTGTTTTCTGTTTTTGTCTGCATTTCACATAAGGTTTGTAATCATTAGAATGCTAATTATTATTGCAAATGTAAGATGTGCCCAGAATGATGAACAGAGTTGTGTGTGATTCTTTAATAACTGAGAAAACTGTATAACGTTGACAGGGTTATAATAAAAATTAATATCCAGAATACTCAAGGCGGATAATTTGACAACAAATGACCATATATATATTAATATCATACATAGGTAATGGATAATTTATTATAGTATGTTATAATTTAAGTATTTCTTGTTCCTGCTATAGCTTGGAAAGGCTTGACTAAGCATGCCAATTTGGCAAAAAATGAATAAATTACTCACTAGTTAGCATGATTTCAATTGCACAACACTAACTGCTAGCTAATGACTTTCATTCATCATTAGCGGTCTTAGCTTCTGTGCTTAAACTGTTTCTTTAAACTAAGAAGTGATTCCAAACTTTTGAACAGTAGTCCATAAACAACTCAGCCAGTGAAGCACCCTCTCAGTTTCAGGAGGTGCGTCAGCTGATGTCCCGTTACTACACTCTGAAGCTAATGAGTGAGGACCTGCTGCAGATCACTCAGCAGAACCAGGAGAGCATGGAGAAATCCCAGGCCCAACTGGCCCACTTCACCAAGCAGGGCAATGACACAATTCTCCAGTATAACAACACTTTGTCCCACCTGCAGAGTCAACTGGACGAGGCCCGAGCAGAGGGCATGATCTGGGTGAGAGGGGCCGAGTACACATACACAAAAGGAATACAATAAACTATTCTAATGGAATTAGTGCCAATCCAACTCCCTAATAGGCCAAAGTTGCTCCCTTTGATCTGCTATACAGTACTGTTCAAACGTCAGGGACCACCATTTATTTATTTAATTTCCCCCCAAAAACAGACATTAAGTACATTAAGTTTTTAATTTTTCTGTGTGAGAAAAAATAAAACAAAATATTTTTAAAAAGTAAATTACACAGAAGCCTCAACAAATATACATAATAGCATTTTTTCAGTATTTAGTGTGTCCATTACATTATTACAGCTTCTATTCTTTTTTCAGGAGACTTGACATCAGTTTTTCAAAGAAATCTGCAGGGATATTTTTCCACACTTCCAAAGTTCAGTCTTAGAAGTTGGTTGCATTTTCTGCTTCTCACCTTCCAAGTAATCCGCATTCAGTGATGTTGAGGTCTGGGCTCTTCATTGTTCTGAGAACACCAGCAGCTTTTTTGATATCAAATTCTTCTTTTTTTTTAGTCTTTATTTCCTTTTCTTAGTAAAGGCTTCTTTACAGCTACAGTTTTCTTCTCATAGGGGAAGGATGGACAGAAATACCTGTAGATTTTTTCAGATCTGAACTATGAGTGGAGCTTAGTTTTCTCCTCTCTCTCATAGCTTTAAGTACTATGGTCTATCTGATTTTTGAACTCTAGTTTTGAGAACCTCCTTATGCAAGTGGATTATCTTATATCTAATCTCCTCAGAAATATCTCCTGGAAAATGTTCTTGTACTTAATGGCTGTTCAAATAACTAAATGGTGGTCTCTTTGCACAGTACTGCATCTCCACACTGAAGCATATCAGATCTTTCAGTTTTTGGAATGTATCACTTATGCATTTACTCATATATTACTCATACATGCACTTTTGGCAGGTAGGTATTATACAACTGCATCTTATAATAATAATAATAATAATAATAATAATAATAATAATAATAGCAAAGGCTTCTGGGTTACAAGCTTCTAACAGTAAAAAACATCATGTCTACATGTCCAATGCATATTGCACCTTTCAGCATATTCATGATGTAACATGTGGACGAGTGTAATGGTGCATAATAGCCTTTTGATTGAAACTGCTGATACTGTTGATGCAGCTAATTTATGCATATTGAAAGAATGAAAGATACTCACCAGTTCTTTATCACACACCTCTACCTTGTAGCTCCACCTTGCTGGTGTGCAGTTGGAGACAGAAGCCCATTTGTTGCTGCACAATTTGTGTTAGTCATCGTCTAGCCCAGGGTCCTGGAGGGCCAGTGTCCGGCACAGTTTGGTGATTTGCATGCTCAAACACATATGACTCAATTCATCTGCTAATTGTGAGGTTTAGTAGGTGTGTGTGTTTGAGTGGGGGAATGAGCAAACTATGTTGGACACTGGCCTGCCAAGCCTGGAGTTGTGCATCCCTGTTTTAGGCCTTCATCAATGGTCAGTTTCTGAACACAGAGGCACTGTTGGCTGGATATTTTAAGGTGGTGGACTACTGTCAGCCTAGCAGTGACACTAACGTTGTGCGTCACACACACTGCCACGTCAGTTTCACTGCTGTGTTGAGAATGGCTCACTGCCCAACTAATATCTTGTCAACAGCGGTCCTGTGGTCAGAAACTGAGCAATGATGAACCGGACAGGCTACAGCCTGTAACTGTACATGAGTTTTACAGACTTGGTTCAAAGTCAGTTTTGGACTTTCAACTGTGTGTTCAGATGTTAAAAATTCTCAATATTACACAGTAATATTCGGACTTTGGGACACATTTATTTCAAAACAATCAAAACTATGTGGCCATGAGGGCCAGGGATGCAGACAAAAAAGGAGGCGACTGAGTAAAAATCCAACAAAAAAATGATTAAGCAATTCCAGCTCATAAAGAAGCAATCACATTCCTTTTTTTTGAGTGACCTGAATTTTGTACAGCACAGTGATGAAGGCTTTATTAGAACTGCATTATTCGTCTGTAGCCACTCTGCAGTTCAGTACAGATAGGCATTGCTTTGTTGCAGTGTAGGAACAGTGGCCTATATGAATGCCTGATTTAAATAAAAGCCATCCACTGTCTGTATTACTGTCACTCTGCAATCAGGAGTCAAGATGGGCCCACATTCAGAACACAGCAGCCAAGAAAACTCTCCTGCTGGGTACAATCAAGATGGCCACACTTAACCTGTACCAGAGTGTTTGCAAGAGGGCCAAAGACACTGGAGATGCACCAATTGCCCCAGAGGATACACTTAAACAGCTGGAAAAGGTATTACCAAAAGCTATTAATATTTCACAGAATGTGTAGAAATTGAACTGTTGTGTTTACTTTTCATATCTACAGTGGGAGATCATTAACTCTTCTGATACAATAAAAAGTCATATGGTCATGTAACTAGCAGTGAGCCAAAAATACAGTATGCAGAGGTGGGTAGTAAGTAGTTATAGGCAAATGCAAAAGTATGAACACCTAAGTGAAAATGAGTAAGCATATCCTAATTCCTATTTGTTTTAATGTAACATATAAAAAAGCATAAACTATTAAATGTGCCATAACTTTTGTGCAGGTCAAACATTATGGTTCATTTTCCACCCAATATGTTAAATTCAGCAAAGAAATGCACAGAGGTGTGTTCTCTGTAGAGGATGTGCTTCAACAAAACATTTAGCTGCTTAAATGGCCAGGAAACGCTGGCAATGTTTTACTGCACACTTCTACAATTTAAGAATAGCTCAGCCAGTTTGCATTACAGTCCATGTAGTTACTGAACAATAAGCCTTGGTATGTAATAAGTGTGGGACTTTAAGGGGTTAATTTGTTTGCATATAAAAACTGTATCACTGTATATGCAGTAATACTGTAAATCGTGGTATTTGTATTACCAAAAGCAAAATTAAAGTAAATATATCTAGATCTATTTTAGCTTTCGGATCAACAGCAAGTATAGCTACCTCATTTACATGATGATGATGATGATGATGATAATGAATGTATTTAATCAGCTACTTATTTTCTTTCTGTTCATTGATAGATCCAAACATTCTTATCTGACTTGATCTCCATGTGGGAGGAGGTCAGCAGGTCACGATCGCTTCTCCCAGGGGCATCGATAACAGACCGGATGATCTGGACACAACTTACCCAGAAGATGGAGAATGTGTTTATGATTGTTGTACTTTTATTAGTAATAGATCTAGAACTGTTCTCATTAACCCCTTTCTGCAGAACACCTAGCAGCCATTCTGCTGTAAGGGAAATTAGTTGATCAAATAAAACATCTTCCCATAACTTTGTTATCAGTTGGCTTTCTGTGTGTGAACTCTGTCCCAGATAGCAGGCAGTTTTGGGCCAATTCTGGCTTTCCTATATGAGTGTTGGTTGATTACGGGGTAGTTGTTAGGCATGCGGGCCAGACCAGGGCCAGATCTTGGACAGCTTCATTCTGTTTTTCCTTGTATCCACATTTGTGGGACAATTCTGGTGTGAATATTGTGGACCAATGGTGTAGTTGGGCCAGACTGGGACCAGATTTGGGCCATATCCTTTAGTTCTACTCACTTAACAGTGCGCAGGCCAGATCTGGGCCGAGGACCCAGCCGTATTCTGGGCCAGAACAAACCAAGGATGTGGCCCACAAGTGAGCCAGACAAATTTTGCTAACTGGGGTTGAGCTGCTAGTGAGCAGTGAGGGGTGAAAAGGGAGGGGTGGGAACCCCCTGCTGTTTTCCACACTAATTAATTTTATTATTTTTTAATCAAAATTTTAATTAATTCTCCACAAAGATAGCTGTGCTAAGATAAAACGAAAAGCACAACTGCTGCTTCTTCATATTAAACTAGAACTGCTACAAATAGGATTTAAACAAAACACCTTTATAAATGTCGACTCGTTTGCTCCCCAGCAAAGACAGACAAAAACGATTCACACGTAAATCACGCATTTCCATTGAAAAAAAATGCATAGTGTAAAAAAGGAGGGACCTCCAAAACAGAAATGGCTTTTTAATTTTATGGCTGCTGTGAAAAAGGTTTTAAAAATAACTATTTTGAGGGGTTCAGAGTGAAAAGACTCCGTCCTCTTTCAAAAAGTTTACACCATTTCTGCCACAAGATGGCGCCCAAATGTCAGAGATGCGTTAAAACGCTGCTCGAGGAAGCGCCAGAGCTCGGTTTCTCACGGCCTTATCGGCTAACCCCCCAATACATGTACTTATGACCTTATTCTCATATTTACCTCGGATTTCGGTACGAGAAGTTCACTTTCACTTTTTGGCTACCCGTTCATTATTCTTCTCTCACATGAATCACAAAATGGCTGGAACAAAAAAATCATAGAAACCATTAAAAGTTCATGTTGGTTCCCGGTGGTGTCTAATAGTCAGTCACTGAAGGTATTCAGTGTTTTCCTGATCGGTTGATTTCTCAGTGTAAACGATTCTAATGGTTTAACAAGTGCTCTGGGACTGATTCCAGATGCATTTGAAGGTTTCCTTGTGGGATCTAAAGGTGTTCTAGGAAACAAGTGCTTTCTAAAGGTAACCATTAAGCCAATTCCCATTAGAAAGTCAAACTATGCGGTTTTGATCCTAATGGTTCTATTATTTGCTGCTAGCAGGGACTCAACACATTCTCAAACGTACCAATGTAGGCATACTTAGTGAATTCAGCCACTGCACAGAGCCTAAAGTCATCATTCCCAATGCCAAGCATTAGCTACTCTTTAAAAAACTGTTTTTTATGGATGTTTATTCAAGGTAATGGCTCTCTTTAGAACCATGAGTTCTGTATAGAACCACTGCATGCTTAAATGTTTCTTTGCATGGCGAAATGGTTCTTTCACCATGAAAGACCTATATAGAACCTTTTTGAAAATGATTCAATACAGCACGAAAAAGAGTTCTTCTATTGTTATGAGGTCAAGCTTGTAACAGTAGAAGAACGCTATTTGGTGCTATATAGAAACATTTTTAGAAAGGTTCTGTATATAAACATATACAACGCATTCTCCATCATTCTGACAAACCGTTATACCATGTAAAGAACCATGTAAGCATGAAAGGGTTCTATATAGAACTCATGGTTTCAAATGGAACCATTCCCTTTACTAAGGATCCCATCTTTTTTAAGAATATAGAGCCCAGTTAGGAAAATTTGTCTGGCCAACTCGTGGGCCACATCCTGGAGTTTGTTCTGGCCCGGTATACAGGTCGGTCTTAAGTCCAGGTTTGGCCCACACACTGTCAAGTGAGTAGAACTAATGGATGTGACCCAAATCTGGCCCAACTACATTGTTGGTCCACAACCTTCATGCCAAAATTGGCCCACAAATATAGACAAGAGGCAATAGCGTGTGAAGCTTTTGCCTTTTCAGCCCAAAGCCAGATTCAATCCCAAAACTGTTTGCTATCAGGGAGGGCTATGAAGCCCCCCAGCACTGGGCTGTGGAGCAGTGGCACTACGTTCTCTGGAGTGATGGAGCTCCATACAACACCTTTGGAGTAAGTTGACATGGTGGTGGCATGTAAGTGTGTGTTGCACTGGTATGAGTGGATCAGACACAGCAGTGCTGCTGGAGTTTTTAAACACCTCAGTGTCACTGCTGGACTGAGAAAAAATCACCAACCAAAAATACCCAGCCAACAGCGTCCTGTGGGCAGCAGCCTGTGACCACTGATGAGGGATTAGAGGATGACCAACACAAACTGTGCAGCAACAGATGAGGCACTGTCTCTGACTTTACATCTACAAGGTGGTCCAAGAAGGTAGGTGAGTCCAATAGAGTGGACAGTGAGTGGAGACACACCACCACCACGTCAGTGTCACTGCAGTGCTGAGAATGATTCACTACCCAAATAATACTTGCTCTGTGGCGGTCCTGTGGAGGTCCTGACCACTGAAGAACAGGGTGAAAGGAGGCTAACAAAGTATGCAGAGAAACAGACGGACTACAGTCTGTTATTGTGGTGCAGCTGATAAAATGGACATTAAGTGTGGAAACAAGGAAGTGTCCTCGATGTTATGGCTGATCGGTGTACATTGTGACCCCTTGTTAATATCACCACCACTGTAAAGAAATATGAGTTGGTAAGTTTCTTTACGTTGAACTGTTTCACATCAAACCACTTTACAGGAATTTAACTTTCAAAGATTGAATTATACAGACCTTTTGAGAAATTGGTGGAATTCCCCTTTTACACTCTTGATTTCAGTTGGATGAGCAGGTGTCTACAAACTTTCTGACTTAAACTGAATACTCAGTTCACACAGAAATGCATTATTGTATTCTGGGAAGAAGAAAAAAAAAAACATACAGCTGATGAAATTCTCACCGAGCTCCACCATAGGGTGTGGCGGCGCACGCTGAGAGTAGACAGACGGGTTTTGAGCCTGGTGGTGGTAGAAAAAAAAGGCTTGTTTTTTTCTCTTCTGCTGGAGACTGTTATGTAAGGGAGGGAGAGTCTTCCCACCTCCCCTCACTGTTTTTGTTTTTCTCAATGAGCCAGGCCTTTTCTCTCCCCGGCTCGGGCCCCTGCGCCTGTCCGCCGGGCCCCTTTCCTGGAAAAAAAAAAGCCCAGCAGGGGCCACTCGGGGGCAGATTTTGAGGAGGGGGGGTGCATAGAGAGAGAGGAGAGCGAGAGAGGCAGTGAGAGAGTTGGAGGGGTGGGAGGGGGTCTTCTTCCCCTTCCTGTAAGTCACATGGCTGCAGATTTTGAGCTCGGGCCCTGCAGAAAAACCTCAGATTTGGCCAGACCAGGCTGTTCTCTGGTTAGAACGTGTTGCGTGGGTGCGGGTCACTGAGGGCACGGACTGCATGTCACTGAGGGCGCTCGGATCAAGGTGGGATTAAGTAGCTCATATCCTGTTCGCCCAGCATTGAAATGTAGTGCAAGTGTGAGGCGTGTTTACGTATGTGTTATGAGGCAGATGTTTACAGACGCTCACGCTTATAGGCTGTGCTCAAACTGAAACGATTCATCATGCTTTTTTGTCGTCCTCCGTGTTGCAATAAAAACTCCCATGCAAGAAAACGCAGACTTGCTTTGTCTGAACAGCGTGCGGCCCCTAGCTGCCATGAATTGGAGAGGAATTCCATAGATTTTCCGAACTTTGTGTGTAATTCAATTAGTGAGATGTAAACAAAGTCATTCAGAGTGGGTTGATGAAAAATGCTCTGTTCTAGAGAAACGTACCGACTCAGATTACCTTACAATGAGGGTGATAGGAACCAGGGGTCGCCATGTCTTTGACATATTTTATTTACTATCCAGAATGACCAGTGAACCTACAAGTCTTCTGATTTTTTTATACGGAATTCTGATAATGGTAAAAAAATGATAATTCTGAAAAAGTGTTTTGCCTCACAGCTTCCCATCCGCCATGTTAAAAAATGCATTTTTGGCCAAAAGATTATCTCATAACTTTCACTTGTCACTATTTCATGTAATAACTTTCTCTGAGGGAGCTTTTAGAGGCATTAAACTCTTCAAACGTTTGGTTCGTATCACCACCATCGGACCACTCTGAGTGACTTTGTTTATTTAACCATATAACTATGCAGGAGTTTTCAAAAATTGATGGAATTACACCTTCCGTCTCAGGCCTACAGCACATCTTCTTTGCTTTTGTGGCTGCTCCACCAGGCTGGAGTTGCAATGTAAATCTCTGGCCTCACACCAATTTAATTATGAATCAATAGGAAAGGATTTATAGCAGCATGAAGTTTCAGATTTCACCATGATTCAGTCGAAATCTGATTATTTTAAGTTATTTAAAAAAAATTCACTGAATATGTAAACATGCAAAATATTCATACTATTTGTACTTTTTAGATATTAATAACATATATTCAAGAAAAAAATAAGTATGTAAGAAAATAAGTCCTTTTGCATAGGCCATATTTTATGTTTCATTTTTTCTCCAATATGTTAAATTTTGCAAATAAACAATAATTGTGCATTAAAGTGTGCAGAAGTGTGTTCTCTGTAGAGGAACATATTTTACAAACAACACAACATGTGATCGAACCAGGGGTGCCAAAACTTTTGTGCAGGGTCTAATAAGACATATGATCCAGTGTCATTTACAGTATATTACAGAGTAAAATCTACATTTGCACAGTCATGCAGTGAAATGTTACAGAGTGCTGCCAACAGAGTGATGGGCTGGGCCACATTAAAAGGCCCATTGAATATTATTATGATTGATTATAATGGATACTGACGTTCCAAAATCAATATAGTTGAATCGCCACCTAAATCAATAAAAAATGTTTCTAGAGCATCAGTGCGTTGATGCTGTACTGCTAGCAAAGAGTTATACATTCATGAACTGCCTCTTCTGATTTGTAGCTGTACATTACAGGACAAACATAAGACAGGTCAATAGAGCTCTGGTACTCGGGGTATATCACAGTGTCCAGCTATGTGTTCCAAACCAACCTATGGTTTCCTGGTTTCCCAGGTGTTGGTTCTCCTTAAAGGACTCGTTAAAAGATATGTTTAGTGTCAGAAGTATTTCCGCTATTAAAGAAGGTACAGCTGATACACAAGTCATTGTGCTTTATTAAGCGGCTATAGTCGTCCACAGCCCCGCCGTACAATAGCAAGGCTTCTGGCTAACAGCTAGCGCTACACACAGCTCACGTCTGCACTCTCTCGCTTCCAGTTCCGACTGACCACAGTTGGGCCATTCTAACAGATTCATTTCCCCAAAAAAGATGAGCCCCACCTTCACAATAAGAGTCCTTATCAGAATAAACACAGAAAATAACTGCTGTAGAACAAATAACCCAGATTAAACATGTACACCTTTCTTGAACACACTACAATATAATTTCCAGTCAAAACAACATTAAGTACAAGTTAGTCATTTGTTAGGAGATATTTCTGAGGGGTTAGATATAGGATACTCCACTTGCATAAATCAGGAGAAAGTCAAAGGAAAATAAGTGGGGAAAAAAAACACTGGAGAGCAAGAACTTTTAAAAGAAACAGAGAAAACGGGACTTCTAACAACCGTGCAAGACCGGGTAGACCACCAAAACTGTCCCCAACAGATCAACAGCAACAACAGCAGCTCTTTGAGAGAGAAGAGAAAATCAAGCCGCACTCTTTCTTCAGATCTGAAAAAAAATCCAAGAGTCTACGTACAGTTGAGATTACTTGGATTGTGAAAAGCAGAAAATGCAACCAAGACTGGACTTTAGAGGCGTGGAAAAAATATCCCTGCAGATTTCTTTAAGAAAATGAAGTCAGGTGTCTTGAAAAGAATGGAAGCTGTAATAAAGGCAGAGTGGACAAACTAAATACTGAAAAAATGCTATTATGTATATTTGTTGAGGCGTCTGTAGAGTGAGTCTCCTGAAATGAATGAAAGCTGTAACATTGAATATGTCATTATATTTAGTTGTTGATGTTTTGTGTAATTTTCTGTTAAATATTTTTTGCTTTTCTGAGACTGAAAAAGGAATGAATTGTGCTCAATTGTTGTTGACTGGAAATCAAATAGGCTAAATGAAACAGTGGTTTCTGACTGTTGCACAGTGCTCTTTATATATCGAGGACAATTACAGTAAAACATTTAATTTTTTTTTTAACAAGCTATTGCTTCGACTTGGACTGCATGGTTTAAATTAATGAATATAGACCAAGGAAGCCCAATGAAGCTCTACCAAGATCTTTCTTTCTTCCATCTCATGTTTAAAACCCATTTCAGTGTACTAAGTTCAAGTTTAACAGATTCTGACTCTGCTCCCCTTCCTGGAGATGCTGTGGAGCAAGCTTAAAGTGTTGGTAACAGAAAACGGCTTTAACATTGACCCTTGATTGAATTGTACATTCCAAACAGATCTGGTCCTGCTTGCATATTCAAAGCTCCCACTGTTTTCCTTCTTTTTGATTATCTGGTTTACATACTGCCCTGTAATGTATGGTGGTGGTCTACATCACAGGCTTTATACATTGCAAGATTAATACCAAAACAAGAGCTGCTTTGGGACCCCCCCAAAAGCTTTTTTCTTCCTTTTTTTCTAAAGCAGAGCTGAGATGCTTTGGAATTCTCCCACTCACGGTAATTTTAGCTATGTGTCTGCGCGGCTTCCACATTTCGGAAACTAGGAATGTAAACAGTGCTCCCATTCTTGTTTACGTCTCGGTTTCGCGGTATAGAATTGGTCTCAGTTAGGGCTGGGCAGCAGTGGAGCTTTCTTTCTGAAGCTTTGCCCGCCACTCATCCTCTGCTACCCCGATTAATGGAGTTTAAAACCTGAATATTGCAATGTAGTCCCTCATACAAGGTTCTGAAAAGCAGCATTTTTTTCAATATTAACACAGTAGTATACAAAGTTTGGGCTAACACATCCTCTACACAGGACACAGTCATGCACACTTACTGTTCATTTGCAGAATTTAACATTTTAGAAAAAAATAAAACATAAATGTGACCTATGCAAAAGTTTTGGCACACTATATATTATATATATATATATATATATATATATGTATATATATATAAATATATAGTGTGCCAAAACTTTTGCATAGGTCACATTTATGTTTTATTTTTTTCTAAAATGTACATATATATATATATATATATATATATATATATATATGGATAATGTACCAAAACCTTTGCACATGCAGGATAATGCTATATTTAACTATATATAACTATATACTATAATGCTATATATTAACTATATTTAAATGTGTTCTCTGTTACATTTAGAAAACCAACAAAACATGTCATTTGACCAGGGCGCCCAAACTTTTGCATACCTCTGTATATGCTGTGGTTATTATTTTTGTGATCCAACTAGCAAGTATGGATGTATTTTTGTATAATCTTAGCCTCAGCAGTGTAATTTCCAGCTTTCCCAAACTGTGTTTGATTTTGAAAGAGCTTATTGTGAATATTCATGTTCATGTTCATCATTCTCAGGACTCTGTTTTCAACATCTGTGAGAATGTGGCTTTTAAACCCAGTGTGTGTAGTACTTTGCATGTGAAAAACAGTGTAATTGGTTCATTAATCCCCCAAAAAAAGTAAGTAAAAGAGTTTTTACTAAGGCAAATGTATGATGTTCTTCATTGCTGTAACTTCAAATAAACTCAAGCAGTTCGAAAACAATCTTTCCAAAATAATTTACACAATTTAGTTTAACAAATAGTTTAATCAGCCTCTCACAAAAATCCAGCTAAAATGACAGTAATCTACTGTTAATTCACAGCACTCATACTGTATTATACAGTTACAATACTGTTTTTAAATATAGTTGTTTACTGTATTTGTACAGGTCTGTCCTGCACACCTGCATTTCTAATGTACAGCTCATATCACTGTAAAAATAATGTAAAATTTAGAGTAATTATTGGCAGCAGAGCTCTGCAGAGTGCTGATTTACAGCACACACTTAAAAGATGGCTCTTCAAGGGTTCTTTAGTAGCAGCGATGGTTTTCTGTTATTGTTGTGATGTGAAGCTTGTAACAATAGAACCATTTTTGGTGCTATGCAGAACCATTTTCAAAAATGTTATTATTATCATTATTATTATTATTAATAATAATAATAAATAAAAAGAAAAACAATGCAAATGGGAACCATAAAAGACAATAAATGTCCAGGCAATCTACTTTAAACTGAATGTACAGCATCAATACTAACACTACCACTACTACAACTACTACTACACTCTTAAAACAGATGTGTTAAAAAACAACACACTCTGTCTTTAACTGGACATATCAGTGTGTTTGGTTGAAAACAGCACATTTTGTGTTATTTTACCCAAAATGTGTCAAAATATTTCTGTGCCCAGTTTCTGATTTAACAGGCAACACAAGTGTTTTAACACATCACTTTTTAAAGTGTCTTAATTCTACTATTACTACTACTAATAGCCTTATAATAATAGTCTTAAGAATAGTAATAATAGCCTAATAATAATATTATTAAGAACAATAATAGCTGTCATTTTTTGTAATTTACTGTTTTATTAATAATATGATAATTTGTTGATATTGTGATGATAAAATAACAATTTTGTAATAATAATAATAATAATAATAATAATAATACAAGCCAACTGAATTTAAATACAATAGTTACTGTAAAGACCATCATTATTTCTTGCTAACTCAGTTAAGTGTGATTAGTCTCTCTCTCTCTTTCTCTCTCGTGATAAGTCTTGCTCTTTCGTGATGACTCTCGCTCTCTCGTGATGAGTCTTTCTGTCTCTCTCTCTCTCTCCTCTCTCTCTCTCTCTGTCTCTCTCTCCCTCCCTCTCTCTCTGTACAGTTCGAGCAGCGCTGGAATGTTTTTAGTGTGGCGCGCGGAGCGGGGCGCTCCGGCTACGCCCACTTCCCGCTCGGCCAATCCGGGGCGGGCAGCTGTTTCAAGGCGCCCCTCGAAAGCCCGTCGAAAGCAAAACAATGATAGAAGAAGTAATAAAACGGTTCTTTTCCCTCTCCGTCTCCGCTCTCGGTCTGCCTCGGATCGGAAGCGGAGCGAAGTGGGCCGGTTTGCGCTGAAAATCGGCGCGCGCGGGAGGAGCGCGCGCGGGGTTGTTTATCTGTAGTAAGGGGAACTTGAAACCGCCGCCCCCCCCTTTTGCCCCATGTCCTCGGTTGTTTTCCTTCTTTCGCCTGGATTCTCCATGTTGTCGGAGCAGAACCGAGGGGCTTCCACTCTCCACCGCGGGGGGCTCGGGGTAAACACACACCGCACGGCGGAGAAAGCGGGGACCGTGAGCCCGGAGAAGAGCTGATAAGAGGACAACAAAACACGAAGTGCCATGCCCCTCCCCTGTGGACGGCGGTGGAAGGCGGGAATAAGTCCGTATTAAAAACAAGACAAACAGTGCAGCGCTGTTTGTACAGTTGGGGCGGATGTAGATTTGTTTATGTCGAGCAGGTCGCTGTTGGTCGCTAACCTGGCTATATAATGATTTTTTTTGGGGGGGGGCGGCTCGGATGTTGTGTGCGTTAGATGGAAGTTTCTGTCTATCATCGCACAAGTGCAGAGAGAGAGCGAGAGGGAGGGAGGGAGGAGGTTCAGCTGCCGTCGAAAACAGGTACGTTATGGTTCTTCTTCTCGGCTGTCAGCCGTGTTTGTTCACGACGAGGCTCAACTTGGCTTCTTATTCGCCAGATAATTGTTCGAATTTTCCCGTTCCACCTTAAACGGTGCAGCAGAAATTATTAGAACGCCTCGGGCGCCAGAATGTAACCGCTGCACCATTTAAGGTGGAACGGTAAAATTATAATAAGAAGCCGAGTTCAGCCCCGTTTATCGGTTCCCCTCAGAGTGCCTGGCTTCGTCTCTGTGCGCGCGCTCAGACCGACCGAGTCCCGTTTCCAGCTCTGACAGCTCCGTTTTGGCTGCTGCTGTTGAGCTCGTAGGTCGTAATGACAGTAATAACAGTGAGCGCTGTCCTGCCCAGAGCTGAGCGCGCTAAACAACTTGTTTACTGACTCTGTCAGCAGTGCACGGTTTTTCTGAGGGACCTCAGCACAGCGCACATTACAGATAACACGGGGGAAATAATGCAGTAAAGAACTGGATAATATAACATTAGTAACGCCTGAAAGCTGCTTTAAATTATGTTTATTCCTCATCGGTGGAAGCTGCTAATGGGCTGTTTATATATGTTTAGATATAAGGTTAAATATATGGCGGGGGGCGGGGAGGAGGGGTGTGATCCGTTGGCTTGTTGTTGTTTACAGATTGAAACCCTCGATCTGTTACACATATTCATTAGCTAGTTAGTATTTTTGCCAGTGTCGTGTTGGCCTATATACATAACGCATTTGTTCACTCTAAAATGACCTATTTTACCTAAAATAACATAACATAAACTATTTTGCTGCCCTGAGGAAAAACATGAGTCAAATTCAGGCGCGCGCCCTCTTAGTGCGTGGCTTTTTTTGTACAAACTCAACCCGCCATTTTGTTGAGTACAGCTCGTCGCTGTGGTTCTCAGTGTGAACTACAGAAAAAGGGCAGATCGTTAAAAACAATGTGCACCCGTTGCCCGGGCGTGGAAACGCAAGGTGCCGCGGTGGAATGCGCGAACACGCCCGTCGGGCGCGCGCACAGACGCGCGCTCCCGCCCCTTCTCACACAGTGTCTCTCTCTCTCTCTCTCTCTCTCTGTCTCTCTCTCTCTCTCTCTGGTTCGGGCGCGCGCGCTCGCCGCCGCTGTCAGAAAGCTGAGGGGAAATTGACAAAGCAGCGTTTCTGTTAACCAGATAACTAAGGCCGAAGGTCAGACCCTGTCCAGGCAGAGAGGGGTTAAGAGTTAAGGCACGGTCTTTTTGCAGAGTGCTAATTCTGGTCTTAAAGGGGAAATCCTCCTGTTTTTCAAAATCCCTGCATTAAATGGTTGAGATGTAAAGTCACAGTCATTCAGAGCTGTTTGATATGACATGCTTGGTTCTGAATCTTAATGAGTCTGAATTTTTCACACTGGTGATGATAGGAACCTGGCATCATTTGATGGCTCTGAAAGTCACCTCACAGAAAGTTATAACATAAACAACTTAGTCAACATAACCGATACCCCGCCTGGTGCCTGAAACATTGTTTTTTGGGATTTCATGGCAGAGGGGGGTACATGCAGGTCGTTGTAAGGCAAAATAGTCAGAAAACATATTTTCCAGATTTCCAACATTCTGAATGTTTACATCTCAACAGCTGAATTATACAGAAATTTAGAAAAATCTGTGAAATTCCCCTTTAACTTACTATACTAAGAAGTCAAGGGGGTGTTTTTACAAAGAAGGATTTTATTTTATTTCCACTTTTGTCCACCTTTGGTCTGGATTTCTATACCAAAAACAGTCCTCATTCATTTTTACATGGCTATTTTGGATTGGAGTGCCTGCGTATTAGTGTCAGTGTGAATGTAAATGTAATTTTCTAACCTTACTTTATCTCTTAGATTTAAGCAGGCAGTTTTTGTTAATGTGCCTTTAAGACTGATATACGTAAATAACCCTATATTATCCCTCATTCAAAAATGCTGAAATACTCCTTATAACTTCAACGTGAATGAGTGGCTGAGTGCTGCATTCTGAATAGACACATAAATATATAAATGTGCTTGTTTTTGTGACATCACAAAAACGGATAATTTAAAACAGGCTGTTTTTGCAGCTCCGTTTCCATATATGGACCATAACAAATATTTTAATAGGTATTTAAAACAAGGAAAATTCAGTTCAGTGTGTTCCTTTTAAGCCAAAAGTTAATCTGCCCAATAGGAGAGGAGCTAAGGGACATTCTTATTGGGCAATCCTCATGCTTTTATTCAGCTTAAGTGTACTGAGAAATCCTACTCTGTGAAATAGACCCCTGGTGATGGGAGCAGATGCCATGCCATCTGAAAAAACGAGTAATGTTCTGCATTTGTAAGCTTGTTTTGCCACCATGTTGCAGACAGACAGTCTTTTCGGTAATATTAGACTTGTTCTGAACACTATTTGTGCTGGTGTCCATCGTTCAAACACTCTGCTAAACAGCCGAATTCAGTCCCACAACAGTATTTCTATGCTTTTGTAGATGTGAATGTTCATATAACACTTTGTGTGAATGTTTACAAGGCTACTGTTACAAGATAGCTTTAATTTTTCATGAGCAGAGCAGATAACCTGTTTAAAGGAATAGCTTTATCTCAGGACTGTTTGTAATGTGGAATAGCAGATCATGGGATGAAGAAATAGTGAACTTACTGACTTTAAACTGACATCTGCGTTAAGAATTCGTCACTTACTCTGAGGGTTTATTATAAAGCTGCATATAGCCTTTGGGGCCTATTTTTGGCCTTAGCAGAAAGGGCATAAGCGAAGCGGGGGTCAGCCAGTCAGGCTGTTTGTGATAGAGCCAAGTCCCTTCCTGATACGCAGAATAATCTTAGGATTGTGCTCAGGTTCCTGGTCTTCTCAGACGTCAACTACATTTATTGGTGTAGAGTACTCACCATAATACTGAATCTGTTCTGTGAGGAAATATGAGGGAGCAGTAGTTCTTTATATAGTGGTATTATAGCAGTGTTTCTTTTCTGGTTTACAGGAGTGACCATAGACTGTCTTGACATTTGCTTGAGTTAATGAGGAATCATACAGCCCTCAAAGTTTTTTTTAGACGGAGTCTGTAAACTTTAGTCTGTTTTGTCTGTTGTGAGTCGTTTGTTGTGTTAATATGACACGCAGCAGCTGCAGTGTAAGTGAAACGTCTCCATTATATTGTAAACAGCACTCAGATAAAGTGAAGTATGCAGGTAAGATGTTACATGAACAGCCTTCATATCTTAGAATACTTTATTCTGTCTAGTATTAGTATTAGTATTATTCTACCTAGTATTATTTGCTCTCTATGGTGCTTCATTTTATCTCATTTTATATCTTCTGTGACCTATTGATAGTTTTCCGATGATGTCACTGTCACGTTGCCTCCATTCTGGTAGGCAACATCAAGTTCATACAGCAGTGCTGTGGTGGTTTGTAATGTAACAAAGCCATAACAGATCAAGCAAAGGCAGTAAAATACGTTTAAAACGCTTTTTAAATCTCACTTTTAAAGCATATTAACCAATATATTTGAGTGGATTGACTTGATATCATTTGGTATGTTGCTGTAGTGACAACAAATGAAAGCTAAAATCTTAACAGCTGCGTTATTATTTTTGTGTCCCAAATCACATACTAGCACAGTAAATAATATGCAAAAAAAGAAGCAGATATAAGATTAGAAGTGCACTCATTAGTGTAGTAGGTGAAGTACAGAAGTATGGTTTGAGACGCAGCATTAGATCAGCCAGTGAAACGTTCAACAGCCGCTCAGCTGTGCTGCTCATTAGCTGCTCAGTAAAGATCTTCAAGTGAAAGTTTAAGGTATTTGTTGATTAAGGAGCATTTATTGAGGTCAGCTGATGTTGGCTTCGTATTCGCCAACTATTGTATTTCGTTCTACATTTAAGGAACCTCAGTGTAAATGCAGCAACGGAACGGAAAATTCAAACGAGAAGCTGGCGAATAAGAAGCTGACTTCAGCTTGATTATTACTTAAGTGCTTTGGTAGTTTTGGTGGCCTTTTTTATTAGTTTTGTAAAATGTCACCCACTGGAGTGTTGCAAACTCTGAAGGAATGCTGGTTATACGGATCCACCAATTTGTGTGGAGATTGGAGGTTTGGTTATGTAAAGGAGAACAGCAGCTGTAGAACTATATTCTGGCAATGCTAAGCAAGTGCACTATGTCTGTATGCAAATATATACAAAAGTAAGAAGCAATCCATTGCTGTGTTGTTGTTTAGTTGTTATTGGTGATATGGAAGTTATCCAGCTTAGATTTTGTTTGGGTATTGATAACTGAGGCAAAAACCTGAGAACTTTTTGGCACTTAATGTACCTAATGTGTTCTAATGCTTACCTAAAATTCAAGATAATATTCTGTATTTTCTATTCTGTACTGAGAGAAAAATGGCAATCGTAGTTGCTTGGATGTTTGTCATCATGTTTTTCTCTGTGTGGAAACATCGTTTGGCTCTGTATACCTTGTGTGGAGAATTTTTCGGTCTGCTAAACATGGCTTTACATGACTTGAGCTTCCCTGTTTATTATTTAAATGACACACTAATCACTAAGCTGATTAACCGAGAACATGAATTGTAATTGATTATACACACCAGCCCAAATCATATGCTTTTGTGAGCATGTTGTGGATATTGTTAGGGCTGACTCTCAATTCGGTACTTTTATGGTTCCAGCTGAATTACTGCAACATAACAGGTTATTGAATAACAAGTCTCTATCATTCAGATGTGAATTTAAATACCTAAACAGTCATCTGTAAACCACTCGGCTTGCTTATTCCAAAATCTAGACTACTGTTTGGCTATCTGAACTATATTCTGCATTCATGTTATTAATTCTCGATTAGCCTACAATCCATTGTTGTTAGTAAGAGCACTCACTTCTGGCAACTCACCCTTATTTCTGATTAAAGCCACACCCACTTCTGGTTAATAGCTAATTCAAAAAAAAGGTATCGAAAAAAGTATCGCTGAGGAAGGTATTAGTACTAGGTAAATTGCATATGGGAAACTGTCAGTCCTTAAAGAATGTTAAACAGCTGTATGTTTTGTTACAATGACAGTATAATTAGTCCTGTTTAATAATAATTAAAAAATAATTGTACTCATTTTTTGCACTACTAGCTTTTTTGATTTGTTCTAACAAACCTCAGAAAAACAAAATACAGAATATACGTGATGCCATTTAATCACTCAGATAGCCTTTATTTAAACTCAGTGTACATTGAGGGTGACCCTCATTTACAGTGTAGCTGAGCATTAAACAAAAACAAGGGGAAATATAAAACTGTAATAACAAAAGTGTAACAAAGAAAGTGAGATAAAGCATAAGGATACAATTAAAACAGAATGGAATACAAAATAAACTTTAGGCACTTTAAAACAAAAAAAACCTCAAAGGAAGCAAATAAAACTGGTGGAATAATAAAAATCAAATAAAACAGCCGAATAACGTAAAAAAAAGAAGGTAAAAAAGAATAAAACAGAAATGATAATGATCAAATGAAAAAAGCTAGAAAAATATTAACAGATAGAAAATGAATAAAAAATGGAAAAATATTATTGTGTAGCGTAAAAAAATGTCTTCAAGTATTGTGTTCAAACCCGTGTTTGTAATCTGTTTTGCCATCACATGACATATTAACTGTCAAACAAACACCTGGCGTAATGAGGTTGAACAGCGGTGGTGGTGCTGTGCTGGGGGGCGGGGCTTGGGATTTTTTTTCCAATGGCATTTAAATGTATTTAGTCAGATTTGTTTTGTAGGGCGTATTTTGCTGAAGAGTTGAGAACACAAAGCCAGTTACAATCTCCTCTAAGAACCACAGAAAATCGCCCAATGAATCAACAGCCCCCCCTTCTCCTTCCTCCCACCCCGTTCACTACCCTGCTTCTAATGATTGTGCAATACTGTTCCATCTGTGTATATCAAATCTTTCAAGGGCCGTCGAGTTCATGGATCACGTTCATTCTCCTCCATTTCCTGCGCCTTTTGTGCTAAGCGGAGCTTTATCAATGAGACGGACGAATGCGGAGCAGCGAGCAGTGACGCAGGAGGCCATTTTCCCCCCTCATCCCCTCTTTCCCCTGCACACGCCGCTCGTATGTTACATAAGATGATTCCTATGGCTACATAAGCCCCTCAAAGAGAACAACATGGAGGGAGGGAGGGAGAGAAAGTGAACGTAGATGGCTTTTCTCGTCATTTCCAACACTTCTAACTCGTGGCATTAGCAGCATTAAAATTCTGTCATAGTAATGTGTAAACAGATTTCCCCAGAAGCATCGTTGGACTGTCCATAGAGATGAAGCTCTTTAATATTCAGGACACTCTTTTTCAATTATTTTCTTCTGTATTTTTAACCCCCTGTGTAATCTAAAAGGTATGTCCCGACAATTTCAGGTTTCTTTCCTTTGCAAATATTTGAACAAAATATGCCAGAGAACTTTAAATATGCGAGAGGCCCATAAGCCCCTCCATAACACGAGCCCAAAAAGCCCTGTCGCAGATGTCATGTTACAAAACACGAGCTCCAATTTCTGCGCCCGTCTTTTGTGGCATATGCACTGCGAGGGCTCGTTCCTGCCAGACTCTCCTGTGATGAAATGGCGGGAGTGGTTAGTGTGTGTATGTGTGTGAGTGTTTTGCACTGAAGGTACATCTGAAATGTGTGGGCTTTCCCGCCCTCTGCGATTATATAACATATACCAGCCGTGGCCAGCAGCCTCATTTAAAACAGATTTTCTGTTTTCTGTGCAGCGAAGAGGGGTAGTCAAGCAAACAGGATGATTTTCTGACGCTGATGGCTGCTGCTTAAAAAACAACGAAGCGCGTGTTTCATTCCTTTTCAGGGTGTCAGTGACTCAAGACACTCAAACCTTACATTTGCTCGCCTGTTATTGTTGGAGAAAGAGGAATAGTCTTTCTTTTGGGATGAACACAGTGCTGGGCGGTGTTGATGAAATTCAATATCATGATAATTTCCGAAGTTAGCACAGTATGTGACGATTGTTTGAAGATTTCAGTATGCATTAATACAGTTATTGAACACATGCTTCCTGAGTGCTGGTTAAAATACTCTACTTTAAAATAATGTCTTAGAAACTTGACACAGCTTTTTTTTTTACTGTTTTCTTCTGTTGTCTTCTCTTAAAAGGACACCATAAGACACCAGCCTTACACAATTCTGGAAATGTTAACTGTTTGTTCAAGACAATTTAAAGCACCCAGCAACAGTGTAGGGTTGTAGGCTTACCTTTTTAGGTGTCAGCACTGCTGTTGCACTAAAATGTAGCAGTACGAGGAACATGTTCAAGAACAGCCTCGGGACATGTGTAGGTTTTCATGGCTGCTTCTTCAGATGAGTTAACAGAGCTAACCAGTGTTACTTTGGATACTGATGATGACTCGTGTTCTACACAGAGTTTGTGGACGATGTGCCAACGTTTCTGGAGCTAGTTAATATCATCTAGAATAGGTAGCCCAGTTAGTGATGCTCACTTTCAGGCACTCTTGTTTCGGAGTAGCAAACTGTAATGTGACATGCTCACTTGCAAATATATGCAGAATCATCACATTTCACTGAATTGTTAGCATGTTTATTTTCTCCATCTTCCTGTGATGAACTGAACAAATACCAGAATAGTGATTTTAGTATTCATAAACGGTTAACCAAATACTCGAGTACCCATGCACATCCCTAATATCGTTATCACCAACACTAAAAATAAATGTTTTTGTGTGAATCCAGCTGCAGCACAGACGGACATATCGCGTAGTGCTTCATACCCATACTAAATGCATTCTTTCTAGCTGTCACAATTACTTGATTAAAATTAGTTACTCGATTAAAAAATAATCAGTGAACATTTACACTCTCGATGATTGGCTCAGTGATTAGTTCGCAATTTGGATCTTCAGGTTATAATAAAGCTGTGGATTGCAGATTCTCTACAAAGGGAGAGCTACTAGCACTGAAGTTGCTTTTGTGAGCATCGTTGAAAGGGAGAAAACCCACACCAGCAGATGCCCTGATATTGCATATTTAATATTGTCCTACTGGCCTCTCACGATTAGAAACAGCCTGATGGACACATTTTTATTGTCACATAGTGCTTATTGTTTATTTTGAAAAGTATTGTTTTTATCTTTATCTTTAAGTATTCTGGAGTCTTTCAACGGTTCTCTATAATGTGTTATTGTTTAAGAATGTTTATTGCTACAAAACAAAAGATTAATCGTCAAAGCAATAGATTACTCAGTTAGTATATAATTTGTACTGACAGCCCTGATTCTTACCCTGTATTAGGCCTGTGTATTTAAATGCTTCATTACCCTCTTCAGACTGTTGATAGCCTTAAGAGGGATCCTCGTAAACCACTGGCTTAATCTTGTTATTCATTTACTTCTAGTGTAATATTACATAATGTAATTAGCAATTAGACCACCAGAGCCTGGTTTTTAAAGAAGGAGCTTACATTATTTTTGTATGTTTGTTTTCTTGTGGATCCAACAGATATGGCAGACTGTTCCTTGAATCAAAAGCCTGGATGTCAAAGCACCTTTAAAGAACTCAGCCTTTTGCCTTCAAGCTCAGGATGCCCAGCAGCAAAGCAGCACCTTCCCATGATGCCTTGTTAGTGCCGGAGGACAAAAGGACTGTTGCCAAGGTAGCTATAGCTTCCTCAGAGTACCTTTGTGTCAGTGATCTGTTCTTATACAAACCCTGAATGCAGAGCATGGACAGTTTTTCATGACCATGAGATAGAGATATCTGGGAGGGAAGCTGTTGCAGTGTTTACAGTGAGGATGTTCTGTCTATAGTAATTTCATAATTTATCAGTCAGAGTTAGTGTTGTATAGCATTAAGTGTGTCTGCAACCTAGAGATGAGCAATACATGTTAGTATTATTGTGGTAATTATAGTTCGCTTCAGTGCACTGGGGATTAGTAGTTTAAGATCACCGAACATCTGTGTTTCAGTACCTCTTTCTTTTGGCCGCCTATTGGCCCTAGATCTTTTTTCTGTTTTATCAGATTAACTTGGACACTGTAGGGTGAATTGTTTTGACGGTGTTGAGCTGCTAGTGAGCAAAGAGGATGAAAGGGTGAAAAATTCAGTCATCTCTGTAAATTCTGTCATGTTGGGATAAAACAGCAGAGCTGCAGCTTTCTTGATATCAAAAAGTTGAGTACGGCTGCCACAGTAAGAAATGTACACTTCTATAAATATTGACTTGCTTGCTCACCTACAAAGACAAAAGTCCAGTCCTGCTTTTGTAAATCCCTCATTATTTCCATCGAAACATATTCCATCAGTGTTATTTAAAAAAAAGGCTAAACTGAGGGACCTTTGTAACAGGCTAAAATGACATTTGTTGGCTGTTGGGTAAAAAGGCTTAAAAAAAGAGCATGTTTTACGTAGTATTTTCAAAGGTGGAATTACTGGGGCTTTTTTTTTCTGTTCCAGCTTATCAAACTTCAAAATAAAAAGAACGAAGTATTGTTGATACATCATGATAAGTGTCATGTATGGTGAAAATGTCACATGTACTCATGGAAACATCATAGTTTTATATCTCTGGTTCCATGTTTCAAGCTGGAAGAGGTTTTATTCTTGTTTATTAGCTGTAAAAAATAAACTAACTTGGCAGTAACAAAACCTCGAACATCTGAAATGAAGAAAATCATCACTAATTTGTTATTTATTTTAATGTAAGAAGATTTTATTCAGAGTCATTATGGACTATTTCTGTTGGTCTGTTTGTTGTGAATTAGTCATACAATGTGGTGTTTTTTAAATGTTGTATTGCAGTAAAAGGTGAAAATGTTCATGTTTTGTTATGACAGCAACAAAATGTAAATTGCTGAGGTTCAAAAATGCCACGATGACATTTTGCTTGAATTTCACCATAATCGGAAAACAAATCTGTACTTTGACCTCAAATACGAGTTAAGGACAACAGTTTTGTTTTTGTGAATGCAGTGCTGTCCCATGTCTACTGAGCAGCCCGCTGACGCCAGGCCTCAGCTTACACTCATCCGCACTGTTGGTAAAGCATGGAAAACAGGCCACTGGTTTACCTGCCTTCCTCTGATGAACTTTTGTCCAGCTGAGTTGCGCTCCAACACCAGCTTTGTGCATAATAATGAGGCGATGCAGCTCCTTTCATTGGCTGGCTTGTGTTCCTAGGCTGTGGAGCAGCTATTCTCTAAAGCCACAGGATTGTCTCGCTCACTGGAATGAATCTGATGGAATATTTGGACGGAGAAGAAAGTGCCAAGCAGACGAGTCCTCACTGAGGCATATTAAAAGCTTTTCAGTGTAAATTATGAGAAAGTTATGTCTGCAATCAGCTGTCAAGAATAATAGAACAATAAAAAAACAGAAGAAGGTGTAAAAATATGTGATGCATCATTCTGAAGGGAGCAGTTCAATGGCATAAATTTTGAAATGCTCAGTTATAATCAGTTATAATCTGCTCTAATAATATTGAAGTTTCCAATTAAAAGAGAACCGATATCACAAAATTCACTTATTGAGAAGTTAACAAAGTTATTCAGAGTGGTTTGATGTGAAAAGGTTCATAGTACATAAACTTCGACTAGGGTTTCTTTACAGTGGTGGTGATAGGATTACTTTGCAAAACCACCAGTTAATCTACGTGTCACCTGAATATTTATGTGTAATGTTGATGATAGCAAAATAGTGGTAATTCTGAAAAATTACACTTCCTTTTGCCACTATTTGCCTCATGACATCCTCCATGTACCTTTCTGCTGAGAATGTATCATGAAATGAGCGTATTCGTAACCATTTTCTGTGAGCTAGCTTCAGACATCTGGTTCCTATCACCATTGTGAACGATTCTGACTGAGCATGTCACATCAAACTACTCTGAATGGCTTTCTTCACATCTTAACCATTTAATTTAGAGAAATCTGTGAAATTCCCATTTAAATAAAAATTATTTTAAAAAGCCCTTTCTTGAATGAAAAAATAAAAAAAGTGAATTGCTTTTATTGTTTCCAGTTTTATGTAGAAGTTTGGGCAATTTACATGTTTTGCTGATTTTCTAAGTGAAAATAACTTACACATTCTCCATAGAGAACAGATTTTGTGATATTGTTCTGCAAATTTGAGGAAAATGTGACTCCTGCAAATGTTAGGAGACATTTTTTTTACTCCAATATGTTAAACTAGCAGGTAAACAGACATTGTGCACTAAAATTGGCAGAAAAATGGCCATACAGTTTTACCAGGGGTGTTCAGACTACAACTGTATATTCCCTTACTGTGTAAATAGTTCCTCCAGTTTCATTTATGCATTCAATCTATTTTTAATAATAATTCTGAATCATACTAACGTAAATCAAACCACACAAAAACCTGAGATTTCATGCACTGAATTGTTCCTAAAGAATTGTAATTATTTTGAATAGTTGTGAGGTGAAAAATTTATACCAATGTTTATGGTTTAAAAAATAAAGTGTTCACAGCTGCACTGTTAAGAACGCAAGAGTCGAGTCGTGTGTGCTGGATTTGTTTAATTTGCAAGGTGACCTGTTACATGAAACAGTTATATACATACATTAACTTGCTGTTTGTTGACTCTTTGGCACTGACCTCTAATGATTTTGTCTTGCTTGTAGATCCCAGCTGAATGTGTGGTCATAGACCTGGACACGATGCTGGCGCAAAGCTCGTTGAAGGTATTGACCCCCTGATATCAACTGTATGCTGTTACATGTGTTAGGTATTTGTACTCCATAGGTCCAGCAACATGTCAGGTTCAATGTATAAACCATATAACTGGAAATAATTAACCCATTTGGTTAACGTTAATTAATAACACCTTAACAAAGTTGAAGCTCTCTGAACAAGGACAATGATGCGAAGCACTGCTTTTGTGAAACATCTAAAGCTATTTGAGTGCTAATGTGCCCCCTCATGGAGAATTGTTAGCCTGCTAAATGTGCATGAGTGAGAGAGTTATAAGCCAGTATCATGAGGGGCTTCAGGTATAAAAATACTGGGACATTCAAAATGCAGTTAAAAGAATCCAAAAAACAGGCTCATATAAACAAATAAAAGAACAAAGTTCCAGGAAAAGAACTAGGCCTGGGCGATAGGACAGTGTAATCGGATATCGTTGATGATAAAAAAGTAACCTGATGACGTTGTGTAAGAGGCAATAATGAACGTTTTGGTAAAGGAACTCATTTAAGAAGTGTGCAGGCTTGCGCGCTAGTAGTCGGTTTCACAGAGAGAAAGCGAGAGGGAGGGAGGTTTGTAAAGAAACTGCCTGTGTTATTTCTCTCTGCTACACACTGTAATGCTAGCTTGCTCACACAGATTTCCCTTAATTTACTTTACATGCATGGAATTGAAAATGAATGCTCACATGCTTTGGAACTTCAGCTTATCTCTAAGGTACTCGCTGCAGTTAAAAAAACAAGCTAAAATGACTGAAAGATCGTGTAAAGCAAGTAAACTCTAACCTGAAGGGAAAGTAACCGCTGGGACACTTAATCTGTACAGAAAATGCTGCACACCAGCTGTAGACGAACACCTCTGATGTGCGTCTACAGCTGGTGTGCAGTATTTTCTGTACAGATTATGTGTCCCAGCGGTTAGCTGAATTACGAAATCGCTGCTGTAACGACAGTGGGCACGTGGGCGTGGTTTCTCCAGCAGGGAGCGCTATTAGCACACAAGTCGCCATGAGCCTGCAGCAGAAGAAGCGCATGAGCACTTGTGTTTGCAGTAACACTGATTTTAATTAATGTTTATTATTTTCAAAAGATGTTGGATTACTCAGTATCACTGACAGTTAATATTAAAAAAGCATATATATAAAAAAAAAGCATATGTTTTTTTCTTTTTGGGTGGCAATATTTCGATAATCACAATTTTTTAACTAGAAAATATGCAAATTATTTTTGGATATCGCTGATGCCTGTTAAGAGCACAAAAAATCTACAGCACAATATTAAAAGGTCCACAGGTGGCTTCAGAAATCAGTGCATCAAACACGGCTACACTATGAAATAATGAAATTAACAAATAAGTGATGTTTTTAAGGTCACTTACAGTTTGAAATATGTACACTACTGTGTAAAAGTCAGTAACACTTGAACTGTGCTGCATTACATAGGCATGTCCTATCAGATGTCATATGCTGCCATGAAATGTCAAGGCAGATTTTGTAAGTGTGTCATGTTTCCGTTATAACAGATAACATTGATGTTTGATGTCACAACAGCTTAAGTCACATGCTGAGTTTTGCTAAGCGACTCTAGTTAGCTGTCATGACATTAAACATTGTGACATCTTATGACATGACATTTACTGCTAACGGTATGGCACTGTTATATTACTGGACAAAATCTGTCACGACAACTCATGACAGCATATGACATCTGATGTGACATGTTCACGACATGGTTATGGGAATGCTATGTAGCAATGTTCAAATAAAATGTTGAAAAGAGTATATGTAAAGCCAAACATCTGGGAAGTAAGCATTTGTTTGTTTGAAGAAATGCTAACATAAGAATAAATACAAACAAATAATACATTGTGGTTTGATGTGTGTCAGTCAGTTAGCCTAACCACTTCCAAACCTCTCCTCAAGATCATCCAGTATGTACAGTTACTCTCCAGTACCTGCTTCACCTAATCAGTCCTTCAGTAAATTATATCAGGTGCCTCTGATAAAATTGAACAAATCAATGCACCGACTGGAGAGCACTGAGGTCAGGAACCACACCTGTGTTCTTCTAGCTGTATTCGTCCAACCAATATGTATATTAATAATTCTACTGAATAACTAGGCCTGTCCTGATCATGACGTTTTATCTCATGATTAATTGCCATATAAATAAATACGATTAACAATTTCATTATCTTTTTTGAGAAACAGCTGAATTGTTTTAAAGTACAAGTCTAAAGTGGCCAAATAGGTTGATTAGCTGTCAGCTTGCTGTGTATATGTAGTAGCTTCTAAGTGACGACATTACATTACATTACATTACATCACTCAGTGCTGCCCTCTAAAGGTGATATAGCAACAGTCAGAAGTTAGAACTTGTTTTCGTGTCTCAATAAATGCCTTTTCTGTTTTCTCTTATTTACATGTGTTTGCCTGAACCCAAATGATAAAAAGTCGCTCAATCTATTTTTGTGATGTAAGCATAAGATTGCAAAATCTCACAACTATGGGAAAATAATTGCAGTCAGCTCACATAATTGTGGCTGTGTAAAACGTATGACAGGCCTATTGAAAACAGTTTGCCTTTATTTGTGTTTATTCTGATTTTATATAGTGTGTTTTACAGACAAAAACACACAAGATCTTCATTTTCTTATAGAATATTTGAAAAAATACTCAGTCTCTTCTTATACAGTTATATTGTAACTTAAAATGCACACGTGAGTATATGCAAACATAGATCACTGTGTGGTTATTAATTAATTTACCTTGCCTTGTCCTTAGGCTGTACACAGTGCACAGCGGATCTCTGTGTGTCTGTGGAGACTGAGGGGCCCACACAGCAGGTAAAGACTTCATGTGCAAAGCGTGTTTGTGTGTGTGAGAACTGAGAGACTGGTAATCCCCTGCTAGTGAGCTGGTGTTTTTATTAGCTTACACATTCAACACAAATGAGATGTGCCTGAGGACAGAGGGTGGTTGTTTTTCTGACTTCAAGAGTGGACAGAGTGCGCCCTCTGCTGGACAAGGGGTGGAACTGTTGAGAAGCATAATGTTTATTGTTAAATGCTCCTCCCATTTTTTTGTGTGAGAAATCAGTAAAATTGTTTTCATGGTCTTTCAGCAACTGAACAGCTTTAAATGTGTTTATGTCTTCTTGCTATGGAGGATTTTATCACGTACATATATTCCTTGAAACCTTTATCTCCTTGAAATCCTGTGTTTGGCTTCTGCCTGGTTCAAGTAATCCAGGATAGGTTGGTTCTCACTAGTACGGCCTATTCTTGATTACTTGTTTCAGGAGGAGGCTACCAGCAGCGGAACGGAAAGCCCTGCCGTGTTCTCATGACCCTCAACTGGAGAGGAAATTAATTCTTTTGTGATAAGCTTAATAAGTCATTTCCAGGATGGAATCGGTCACGTGACAGTGGTGTGGTTTTAGAGCTAATAAACATATAAGCTAGTATTGAAAAAGATTGGACTGTAGTACTATGTGTAGCTTAAACAGAATGCTTAATTTCATGGTTCTGAATGTTTTATTACACCTTGGCTGCAGCTGGTTGCTTACACAGTTGCATGATGACACCTGACACAGTTATCTATAGTTTTAACTGTAGCTCACTTGTAGCAATAAAAAAATAAGTAAATGTGTGAACACCACTTTAGAAATAACAGTTGTAAATTGTAAAGTGTAAATTGCAAGCTTTGACTGGACTAAAAAACAGATTGAGTAGATGTTAATGGTAGAGTGCCAGGATGTCATTCATCCATTTAACCTCTTTTAGTGCCCAAACCCTTAGAAATCACAGTTATCTGCAAGATCAAAAGCATGTTGTAATTTTGCATCCGTTACTTCTGATCTGTAGCTCATGAAGAGAGGATGAAAGCTGAGGATGAAAGTGTAGATTCCAAACTGTTAGTCAAGACCTCGTTTGTGTTTGTAAGTAGAAGAAGAGATATTTTATCATGATTTGAATTTGATAAAGTCATTGTGCAAATGGGCTTATTTTGCTGACATGTTTGCCATGTTTTTGTCATTGTTTGACATTGAAAGAAACAAAAATATCACTAATACAGATCCAAACCTATTTCTACAGAATGTAAATTCAATGTAAATGTAATTCATTGTGCAGTGAACTGTTATTCATTTTGTAGTTCTGTTACATTTAATAACCAAAATGACAGTAATAACTAGACATGTAAGGGTTAACTTTCATAGACCTGCACTCCAAACCTCTGTGAATGCAGACCATATAACCTGCTCGTCCATGTTCTTCCCAGGGTGGAATGTTAAAGAGCTGAGCTGCCTCAGCCAGGAGCCAGGACCCTTATCCTGGACGAATCCCCTGCATCGTCCACCCTGAAAACTCTGTATGTAATCTGCTGCTCTTGTCTATCTGCTTTATAGTTTTATAGTAGGAAAAACAGGTTATAGTTGTAAAGTGACACTGCTGTGCTGTGATGTTTATGTATAGTATGAAGTTATTTTGAGACAAGATAATAATAATAATCGTTTGTATAGCTGGGTAAAGTTTATAAGCTGATATGGAATGCGAAACAGGACATCCATTTATTAGGATATTATCTTCAGGATTATTAAAGCGATAGTAGTGATAATGCACACAAAAACAGTTGATCAGCCGAGACGTTTCGTCGCTAAGAAGTAATAAAAACTCATACCCCACAAATTAATATTGTGCGAACTACATGTTTACAATCATCACACACTCTAATTGTTCAGTAATAACTAATAGACTTGTTTTTAGACGTTGTTTTTATTTGGTACATGATATAAAAATGTATAAAATTATGTTGCATAGCAACATAGTAGTAGCAGCCATCTTTCCTTACTTTTGTCCATTCCAGTGGTAAAACATTGAAAACGAAATAGAGTACTGTGCAAAACTCAGAGACCACCATTCATTAATTAAACTTCCACTTAAAAAAAGCCATTAAGTACAAGTTGTTTATTTTTCAAGAGATATTTTTGAGATTAGAGATCAGATAATCCACTTGCCTAAAGAAAATAACTGAAAAATCAAAAGTTTCCAAAACTGGAGTTTAAACAAAGAAGATGAGACTCCGAACAATCATGCAAGACCTGATCGACCACCAAAACTGTCTCCATCAGATAAACAGCACTTAAAGCTTTCATCTTTGAGAGAGAGGAGAAAATCAAGCTCCACTCTTGATTCAGATCTGAAAAAATCCACAGGTGTTTCTGTCCATCCTTCCACGGTGAGAAGACAACTCGGCACTATGAGTCTGAAAGAACATGCAGCTGTCAAGAAGCCGTTTCTGAGAAAAAGGAAGAGGACAAAAAATAATAATGGACTCACCACCCCAGAATCCAGACCTGATAAAGTTAATAGCTTAATGGCTGTTTCGACAGGATATTTAAATGAAGGGTGGTCTCTGACTTTAGTACTGTGTCTTAGTTGATCAAGGAAGAATTTGGTGTAAATTATTTATTTTTTTTGCCAAACTGTCGCTGTATTTTCACCCAGCATTAGTCCTCATGAGTAAGAGACTGTTGAATAGTTTATCTTTGTTTTGGCAGATTCCAGTGCCTTCATTTGATGGATGATGCAGATGGATACAGTAGACCAGAGCACCACTGAACCCAGAGAGCTCCAGATTAAGACATATACTGAGTCTTACTTGGTCTCCGAAATATACTAGCCTCCATACTGAGTGCCTGTCACAAACAAACACCACGTTCACATACACACAAGTGCATACGGCTGTAGACAAATAAATAGAAGTCTGGATACACTCCTAGAAGGGTTTTTCCTAATTGTCCATTTCACAGTAATAGTGTTATTGTTTTTAGCTAAAATTGTAAGTATGAAAAATCTGGTAACGTTTTGGAGGCTTTGTCATTATGCTGTTAGTGACAAAATGGAGTGTTCAATCATTTATTTCAGTAACATATATATAATTAAGATATAGGCCTTTTCCAAGCTAAAGGATTTTATTCTGAAGTCCAAGTCAGTTAAAGGTCTGAAAGGGTTTTAAACTCTGACTTTGAACCACTTTGGTAGAATGAGCCGTGTATTTCGCTGTGTTCAGAACTTGAAGGCGTTGTTCTCTGGATGGGGTGCATGATGGAGTCTAATAAACTTGAATAAATTTTCATTTTGAAGGACCAAATACAGTGTGCATTTTTTCTGAATATCATTTGAATCCTGTTGTGACACTGAATTCCTGTAAATGTGCCTCTGCTGAACAGAGTACACATTCAGTGCTGTACTTTTGAGTGGTTGGTCAAAGCTGTCTGTATAATTAATGATCCACTTCCTGCCACAGTGTCCACAGCTGTATTGTTAATGTATGTTAATGTGTTTGTGACACAGACTGTTTACAGCTGCTCACAGCTTAAGAAATACTAATGTACCATATGTTTGTTTGTTGCATCGTTAAGTGCCTTTAGATGACGGATGTGTCTACATATGATCAGAGCTCAGTTGAGAAGAAAACACTGTTACTTATGTAAACAAGACATGCTGAACTGTCGTTCTCTTATCAGTGTACTTACATATTAATTCAACATGGTTTTAACCGCTGACATATTTTCTTAAAACAATGCCAGTTACAACTGGTACAGTTCTAGGCAAAAGTTATGGCACCCAGTCAGATTACATTTTCCTGATTTTCCAAGTGAAAATATAGGCGTGTGCAAGAGTTAGCTGAATTACGTCACACAGAAAACACGCTTGACATTTTAACGCACAAATACTGTTTATTTGATGAATTTAACATATTGGGGGGGGGAATAAAAATACAATATGGCCAGTGGAAAAGTTATGACATACTGCATTTTATTATTTTTTCTCCCAATATGTTGAACTCAAGAAGTAAATAGAAACTGTGCAGTAAAATTTGCTGGACAATGCTGTATTTAAGGGACATGTAACCTTATTTTCACTTAGAAAGTCAACAAAATGTCATTTGAATGTTTGCATACAAACGTGAGCACTTCAGCAGAGAAGACACTTCTGCAGATTTTACAGTCAACCTGAATCCAAAACTGACCTTTTATCCATACTAGTTAACGTGCCCGGTCCTATTGAACATGACCCATCATACCATCTCATTTAAAAGCCCAAAATCTTGTTTTCTCGTAATCTTCCATGAACACATAATGACATTTGCTGACTATAAAGCAGCTCTTGATTTTTATGTTACTGTGCAGCAGTGGGCAGGAAATAATATTAAATTAACTACCCCCACCCCCCCACCTAGTACCTGAGTGAAAATGCTCACTTAACTCAGAGACCCTCCCTGAAACTGATCCACTCACCAGTGCATCACAGTACATAAGGAAAAGTTACAAAATGTAAATTAACCTGAGGTGCCATAACTTTTGCATAGGTCTATGTTGCTTGTAGCCTTATCTGATCATCTACTCTAACATGACATGCAAAAGCACCTAGACACCTATACTTAAAGATGCAGCCATTGTTGACTGAGGTGTTCAATTGAAAAGCACTGCCAACAGAACGAGACACTCTGGAGCAGCTGCAGATGAACCTAAATTCTCCATGCTTAATGCCAAGTGTCAGTTATAGGGTCAAGCGCTGGGCTGTGGAGCAGTGGAACTGGGTTCTCTGGAGTGCTGAAGCATCACTGATTGATACTCCTGATTTCAGAAGAAACTGTAGCTCAAAATTCTGCTGGGACAGATGGCAACTGGTGTAATACCTCACTATGTCACCAGGGGTGCTGACGTTCAGTAAACTGAGCAAAGGCTTTAAAAAAACTGGCACCTTCTCTGAGCCAAAAGAACCAATCAAGACTGCATAAAAAGATTTTATTTAGTTGCATGAGTGATGCCAATCGCTTAGAAAGATGATCAGGAAAAAAAAAAAATATGGCTTTTGTGGAGATGAGTGAAAACATCTGATAGCACCTTGATATAAAAAAAGTTTACAGATATATTAACAGCTTCGTCATAAATTCTTTTGTAAACATAGCGAACTAATATAAAATATTCCTGACAATTACAACAAAATAAAATGTGAAAATAAATGTCGTAACTTCTACAGGCAACTTAGGAACCTAATACACAAGAACACAGACATCTCAGAGCAGTCAGACTGGAGTCAGTGTGACGGAGAGAGAACGGGTAGTGGCATGCTTGCATGTGACGTTAATGACATCTACAAGGTTAAAAGTCATTTTCACAAAAAACAGCCTCTTTTTTTCCCTCTCTTTTTTTTTTTTCTTTTTTAAAGACAAGGGCCTGGTAAAAAAGGGAGTGGAAAAATAATGTGCGAAATATCTCCATTAAGTCTTCTGCTGTGGGTTGAAGTCAATCTAGCAGTAATTAGTACAAAAAAAATGCTGTACAGTTAAAGAGTCCCATTTTAGAATCCTTCACATCTGAAAACGAAGTGATGTGGTCACAGTTTATAAGCAAAGATCTGAAGGGTTTTGCCCTAATTGTACAATAAATACATCAAATTCTTAACAGCACATGGATGAACTTAAAAATTGGGTCTAAATACAGAGCTTTTATTCAAACTTTTTAGTTCCACCTTAAATGGTGCAACAGTTACACTCTGGCACCTGTAGATGCCGGAACGTAACCGCGCCGGCATTTAAGGTGGAAAGGAAAACTCCTTGTGGAACTCTCTTTAATCGCAGAACAAAAAAAAGACTAACCGAAGTGATTTTACTAGAAGAGTCAGCGTTGCACTAACTGGATCACCGCAATGTTTACAAAACTCCTTCAGTGGGGACGTTTCCTGAATTGCACCACACTGTCCACACTGGGTGATGTATTGGAAAAACGTGGGAGCTGTGTTTATGCCGGTGCTTTAAAGTGGGAAAGAGCAACCATGTACAATATAGAATGAGGTCATCTTGCTGAGTCAGCTGTCACAGAGAAACTCACTAGAACAGAACTGTATGGAAAAACCTGGAGGGCATTTCACAAAGCTGGCTTTCGCAGTTAGCTGGATAACTTAAGCCAAAGGTCAAGACTGTCCAATAATAATATCCGCTTGATGAATTCAGTTATAGCTGAGAAATCTCGCTTTGTGAAAGGTCCTCTTTAACTGGAACTCCACAGATTTAGCAGAAGGTCTACATAATTAAACTGTTTAAATGTAAACAGTCGTTCAGAGCCGTCTGATGTGAAATGAGCTCTTTTAGAGGAACCAGACGTCTCAAGTGTTTAATAGCTCTAAACCTCATAGAGGAGATGCTTATGAATATGCTGTCTGCTGCCTGAGACACTGTTTTACAATAGTTCTAAGAAGGTTTTGGCCTCAAACATATAAATACAAGTGAGGCGGAGAGTAACATGCAGGGTGTTGTAAGGCAAAATAGTCCCCCAAAAACAGATTTTTACAGATTACCACTATTTTACCATCATTAACATTACATATCATAACTCGGGAGCATGTGTTGCTTCACTGTTTTTTTTTGCATAATAAATTAAATGGCTATATTTGTGTTGTTGACGTTTCGGTTCCTATCGCCACCACTGTAAAGAAATACGAACTTCACAATGAACCACTCTAAATGACTGTCTACATCTCACTGAACGATGTAGAACTTCTGCAGAAAATCAGTGGAGTTCCCCTTTAAAAGCATCGCTAAACAGAAACTTCATAGTAACACGTGTCCATACATTGCCAGGCACAGTAAATAGATTGACAAGAAACAAAGAAAGTAACAATTAAGACGTGGTCTTGTCTTACCACACTGTTAAAAAGGAAAACAAAAATAAATAAATAGTAAAATTCACTGTAAAACACTGTAGCTCTATCGCACGTGGAGAGTACTTTTATTATTGCTACAAAGTTTTTGCCACGTAACATATAATGGAATCAATGGAAGTCAAAGTCCAACAGAAATTGTACACAAATGCGTGTTTTTCTTTCTTTCTTTTTTTTTTTTTTAAACTTTTTACATAAAATATGCATATTAAATTACAAAAGACAGCCACATACATAAACACTTTTCACTTTGCAATAACTTTACACAACTATGTTAACAAAAGATGTGCACAGATGTACATGTAGAGACAATATGAGAACATTTTGAGAGGTTTTAAAAAAAATAAAATAAAATAAAATAAAATATTGGAAGACTTTGAATGGGTTAAGAGTTTAATCGACAAGGTCGGAACTTTGCTTCTACACGAAACAGAGAACGAACAAGAGTGAAGTGATGATTTTTTTTTTTTTTTAAGCGACATCAAGAGTGAGTAAAAATGCGGCGGATGTCCATAACAAACATGTCCACTCACTCTTTTCTGTCCGACAGGAATTCTCAGATAGAAAGGTGAACTTTGTTTGCAGGAACGATATTTATTGGGAATATTCTGGTGCCAAAAAGGGAGTGTCCTGTGAGTGTTCATATAAAAGACTACTGTCCCGCGTCACTAGCATCAGGGTATAGAAAAAGATGGTACCTGATGATTAGTCAACCCCCTTGTCCTCAACTACCACCGCTTGCTCTCAGCCTTGACTACCGCAGGAAGACAGGCTGTCATAGAGGGAGTCGCTGAGAGACTCGGGGGTTTCTAGGGTCTGGGGGTGGCTGGGCGAGAGAGCATCATCAGGCCTCTCTCTCACCAGCTCCATCCCAGGATCCCTTGCTGCATCTGGGCTGACGGGACCACAAGGTTTTCCTCTTCGTGCCTGGGCTGCCTGGGGGAGGCTTCTGGGGTCACCGTTGCGTCCGACTGCAGCTTCACTAGTCTTGGTGCGCTGTGAAGGAAGTATAAACAACATTTAAATTTTAATTAGCTTAAATATGCAATCAAAGAGGCTGGAAATCAATTTTCTATATCGGCAAGCTGAAGCGCAGCACTAACTCCATCTAACATGCACAAAGTGTTGCACATCCAATGGAAAAAAAATTCTGCTTGTGCATTTTTATAGATAACACAAAATTAAAGCATCAGAACTAAGTTGATTTGAGCTCATATGGTTCCATTAATTGTTACCTACAATACTGTGCAAAAGTCAGAGATCGCTCTTCATTCAATTTCCAATCAAAACAGCCATATAAGTTATTGATGTTTCAGAAGATATTTCTGAGATTAGATATTAAATATATGTTAAAATAAACAGAGAAAACGGGGCTCCTAATAACCTTGCAAGACCTGGTAGACCAACAAAACTGCCACTATTAGATAAACAGCATTAAAGCTTTCATCTGTGAGAGAGAGGAGAAAATCAAACAGCTTCAGATCTGAAAAAATCCACAGGTGTTTCTGTCCATCCTTCCACTGTGAGAAGACAACTCATCACTATGAGTCTGAAAGGATGTGCAGCTGTCAAGAAGCCCTTACTGAGAAAAGAAAAGGACACTTTTCTCAAAGAAGCTGCTGGCGTTCTCAGAATGAAGGACTGACCACCTCAGAGTCCAAATCTCAACATCACTCAACGTGTTTGTGATAACTTGGATGGTGAGAAGCAGAAAATACAACCAACTTCTAAAACTAACCTTTGGAGGTGTGGAAAAATCTGCTGATTTCTTTGAAGAACTAAAAGCAAGTCTTCCAAAAAGAATGGAAGCTGTAACAAAGGCAAAGTGTGGACACAGTAAAAACTAATAAAATAGATTTAGTTGTTTAGGTTTCTGTGTGTGTTTTTTAGGCTTTTCTGCTTTCTCCCTGCCAAATGCTGAAATATGAATAACTTGTATTTAATGGCTATTTTGACTAAAACTTAAATGAAGCATGATCTCTGATGTTTGTACAGTACTGTATCTCTCTCCATGGCAAAACCAAAGAAGCAAAATCCAGGCACTAAACATGTCTTGGCTGACAGACTGCTTTAAGGCTTAGAGCAGAACTGTGTAAATTAGATTTTGGGTGAATTATCTCTTTAAACTGGAATTTTATTTTTTATTGCTGTCTATGTAGTAGTTTAAATTGCAGACCGTGAGGGGTTCATGGGTCTTCTCTTAAATTAACGTCTGCAAATGATATAATATAGCTTTGAATGGCTTGCTTATCCTGGTCTTGGCCCAGGTGTGAGAAGAGAGACTCACCCTCCTAAATAAGCTCTTCTGGGTTACTGGTTCTAAGCCCTCACCTACTCCAAGATAAACATCAGATGACTCCGTAGATCCTTTGAGGTTGGGGAAAGTCCAGTTCTTTGTGGGCCCAGATCTCATAGGTGCTCCACAGACGTCGGCGCCTTAAAGCACAAATGTACCGAACAGTTAAATTTGTGGAGGAAGTAAAAATCTTAAAAGACACTAACATGTAATTTAAGAGTGGTTTGATATGAAATGCTCTGTTATAGAGAAACTTGTCAGAATTGTTCACAGTGGTGGTGATAGGAACCCCTCGTGTCTGAGGAGTTTAACACCTTTACAAGTTACCTCAAAGAAAGTTATTACACAAAATAGTTATGAATACTCCACCTGATTTCTTAAACACTGTTTTATGTCAGTTTTGAAAAAGATTTTGGCCTAATACACTTAAAAAATCCATTGTGGAGAGATAATTGTACAGCACTGTAAAGCAAAAAAAGCTAATATCACCATTAAATAAAAAACTCAAAAAACATGTTCACATTTTAGATAGTAAATGAAATGGTTTTGAGTTGTAGATATTACAACCCATAGTTCCCATCACTACCAATGTAAAGAGTCATTTAAACATCAAACCACTCAATGAGTTTAAATCTCAACCTTTGAATTGTTCCAAAATTTTGAAAAAGCAGCAGACTCTCTCTTTAAGAAACAATTAAAAGGTACATAAAAAAAAGAAAATAAGGTTAGTCAATTTGAATGTCAGGTGCTGTTCAGATGGTCATATTTAGCTGTCAAGTTAAGGCTGGGGCAAGAAGAGGATGACGCAGGGCTAGTACCTCCAGCATCAGCATGGTGTCATTAACAAGCTACTGAGAAGAAGCGCACTGGTGGCTCAATAAAAAAGCCCAGAAAAGCAACACCACAAACGTTTGAAGCCGTACCTTCATGACTCATGTTGGCAACTTGACTGGGTGCAATCTTGCCTTCCAGTGTGGCGCCATCCACCTCCTGACCCATGATGTAGTCCTCCTCCAAAGACGACAGCTCTCTCTCCAGAGTCCAGGCCTTCTGGGGAATCTTCATCCCTGAGCCATGTCTTCCCTGGGGAAGGGAAGGATCATTCTCCCCTTGGGCCTTCCCTTTGGGGATGCTTTTACATCCAGCGTTTGCACTGTAGTCAGGCAGGGGAAACGTGCCAATACCACTGTCCAGGGTGTGAGTGGAGATTCCAGAGCCTGTTAAGAAACAGTCTGTTATTGAGCTGGCTAAAGAGGAGGGGTGAGACTCTCTACAAATGTACATATTCCTGATATGGCAACTGCATTTAAGATTTAATATAACAAACACAAGTATTTAAACCTGGGGCTTCATTTAAAAAGCATCTTTAAATTTCATTGTAAATATGTTCATAAAGCTGCACTATGGTACCGCCATCGGTTCATATTTCAAAGGAGTTCAGACCACGTCATGCGTCTTTACATGTTAACGACGCGCACAGGCAGAAAAAAAGGAGTACTGGCTCAATGTTTAGATCTCATTACACTGATGAAGATAGGATGACAGTAGCAGATAATTTACTTACATCCTCAGAAGTGAGTTCTCTTTATATACTCTTTCAAGTTTCAGATGCTCACGCTATGATTAATTCTTGAGAAGCCTGACATTTATGATGAACAACCAATCGCCTAAAACCTGAGGGAGCTGAGCGGTGTATGTCTCATGGAAGGAAGAAATCACACTACATAAACATGCAGAAAGTAAAGCATTTATAATGGTAAAAGGCAATGCTGTCACCACTGTCACCGTGTCAGCTGAAAAGTGTTTTTTCCATGTGATTGATGCCACAGGTGTCACAATGAACAAAAAGAGACCTAAAAAAGGGACCGGAAGGGACCACCTCCATCAGAAGGCTGTCTGTGATAGGTCAGTAGCTCGGCCTTGATTTGTCCATAAACTGTTTATGATCCATAAATTCTGAACTTAACCTGCCCTGGAGCAGGTTAGACATGCAGTTTCCATGGTGATGTAGCCCAGTAAAAGGTCAAAATGAGAGAAAAATCCAGGGTTAGATCAAATTAAGCTTAAAAAGGTCCCATATCCTACTTTTTTTATATTTACTTTTTTCCCCTTGGGTTCTATTTATAAGGTTTGTGTGGTTTTATGTACCAAAAATGGTGATAATTAATGTTGACATTACCATTTTTCCAACCTCTCTAACTTTTAGAATAAAATAGATCGTTTTTAAGACTCATATGAGATGAATGAGCTCTGTTGTGAATAGATGTCCTATTTTCTTCATCCAAAAAGCACTTAGAGCTGGAACACTGCCTTCAATTATAAATGAAACTGCTGTAGGCTGAATAGGTGGATATATGTAAATGAGTTGGTTCTCATGACATCACAAACAATGAATTCAAAACGGGCTGTTTTGCAGCTTAGTTTGCATATATGGACTTCAAAGACCGACGAGCAAATGGTATGTTATGAAACTTTGATTACTTCAGGCTCCTTTATTTAATTAAAAAAAGCATGAGAAATTGCTTTTTTCCAATGATATGGCCCCTTTAAAAGTTAGCTGGCTAAGCAAGAAATCTTCTTTTGTGAGCCTGGCCCCTGGACTCTAATCGTGAGATACTAATAACAGGCTCTATAAATCTTCCTCCCCAAATATTCTGTACGCCAAAAGATCAGCAGTCATTTCACAGCCAAATGTGCTGCATATGCTGCAAAGTCACTGCTGAGAGGGTGTGATTCACTATAAAACCTGCAGGGAGAAATGTGTGAAGCCACTAAACTTGTTTATAGCTAAAAAAGCTTACTCAATAAAGACTAGCTGATCAGGTCCAGGCATGTTTGTGAGGTGATCATCTCAGTGTGTGGACTCAAACCCTTAAAGGTGTGATCCTAATTGCTGCATTAGTCCTACCTGCAAAGCGCTCGTGGTGGATTGAATCTGCCAGGTTCTCATCCGATACGCCTTCCACTTTACTCATTAAAGCAGAAGCCTGAGAAAAAATAACATACTTCAGCATAGTATTTTAAAATAACAGTCCAGCTAGAATGTAGATATAACTTTTAATACATACTATACAAAAAGTCAGAGACTACTTTTCATTTACATAATTAAGAGCAAGTTATACATTTTTCATACGGAAAAAACTCCTAACAGATAATAGGGAAAATGGGACCTGGGAGACCAGCTAAATTTTCCCATCAGATAAACTACTTCTAGCTTTTATCGCTGAAAGATAGGAGGAAATCAAGCTTCACTCTTGCATCAGATCTGAAAAAAATCCAAAAGTGCTTGTCACAAATCAAACACAGAGACTGCTGGTTTTCTCAGAACAATGGACTGGCCACCCCAGAGTCCAGACCTCATTACTGAATGTATTTGGGATTAGTTGAACCGCGAAAGGCAGAAAATATTATACTAGCAACCAACTTCTAACACTGAACTTTGGAGGTATGGGAAAATATGTCTGCCCATTTCTTTGAAAAACTGAAAGCAAGTCTCCAGAAAAGAATGGAAGCTATAATAAAGGCAAAAAGTGGACACAAGAAATACTGAAAAATTTGATATTCTATTTAACTGTTAATGCTTCTGTGTTAAATATTTGTTTTCTGCTTTTTTCTGACGCTGAAAAATGACTTGGACTTAATGGTTGTTGTGACTGGAAATTCAATAAATGATAGGTGGCCTCTGACTTTTACACATTCCTGCATGTGTATATGCGACTTTACCTTTTCCATGTCCTCACTGCTTCTGGTCTGAGTAACAGCAGTACTATGATGGCTGAAGAGAGGCCTGGCTTTACAGTCAAATGAAAGGCGTCGATGGGCCACACTGACACTTCCAGAATCCTTCCCATCCACCCTTTTGTAAGAACAGAAATAATATTTAATATTCAATAAGTGTTTTAAATAACATTTTACATGACAAGACACACTGAGCACAGTTGCGTGTGAATGCATGAGTGGGTGAGAGAGGGAATGTGTGAGCAAGAGCATAATCATGCTTACCGGTTGAGCAGCTGCTGCATGAAGTTATCTGATGGCACTCCCCTGTACATAACAGACAGCTGTCCTTGGGCCTGGTCCATCACCACCTCACAAGAATGTCCCTTTCCTTGTCTGTCCAAAGCAACACCATTCACATATGCCCGTTCTTCTTCCAGGGCTTTGTGTAGCCCCTCTGCTTTCTCCATTAGCATGGATATGTTCAAGCTCTCACTCTCTGGCTTTTTAGCAGACGATTTAGAATCCTTACCCACTGAGGATATATTCAGTTTCCACTCTCTCTTGTCATCTTTGCCTTTTGACGCCTCCGGTTTCCGGCTAAGGGCAGGCAGCTTGCTTTTCCGCAAGCCAAACCAATTGGCAATACCGTTGGAAGCCTTCTGTTTGACCTCAGCTACTTGACCTTTGTCCTGTTCTTGAAGCTTCAGCATATTTTCCTCGATGCCTTTCATGACCTTTTGCTCGATGGAGGACTGAGGGCTGGGCGCGGAGTGTCTCTTCTCTTCAGCTGACTCTGCCGGCCTTGGCGGCGGAGGAGGAAGGCTCTCCCCAAAGGAGTTCTTCTTCTTAGTGGCTCGGAGTTGGCTCCTGTCCTCAGATTTGGACAAATATCTTGGAATCTCTTGAGTAGGTTTCCCATCTCGGTTCAAAGATGGTGGTACAGTTTTAGTTGGGGATTTCAGAGCAATCTTATTGGGGCTGCTACTATGGGTGCTGGAAACATTTTTGCCACCATATGAAAGACTGTGTGGTGCTGCACTTTTAACATAGCTACGCAAAGCTTGTGCAGCCTCCAAATTGGTGGATGGTGGAGGCATTTTGGACTTTGGGCTTTCTGGTTTTGCAGGGGACATTCTGGATGACTCGTTTTCCAGTTTAGAGATAACAGAACTTACAGGGAGAGATCGGAGTCCTTGGTCAGCAAGCTGATACTGACCTTGTTGTTTTGCAATGGCACTATCAATATGGCCTGAAACAAATGACTTTTCATCAACACAATCTGCATTTTTTGATAGTCTATGTTCTCCAGTTTTACAGTCAGAGTTCCTGTCTGCAGTTTTGCTTTTGTCACTGCTTCGCGGAAGCACACTCATATTGGGTTGCACTTCTCTTTTCTCAGTTGGCTGGGAACAAGCTGCTGATTCCTCTGGGTTCCTTAGCTTGCCAAGAGCAGCCAGTCTCTCTTTGAAGGAATGGCTGGATTCACCTGAGTGTCTGCCCACGCCGGTCTTCTTGGGAATGGGTGGCGGATCATTTCTTTTGACAGGCGATCCTGCAGTTTGTGTGTGCTCTTTTGCCAACTCGTTCTTCTCTTGGCTTTTGGACCTCAGGTTGATGCCACTAAGCTGAGACTTCTGAGAAGACAACTGACTGGGCAAACTGCGGTGGTTGACCTGCTTATGCCAGACAGCGCTGTCTGAGTTCTCTTCTTGGTCTGAGGAATCAGAGTCAAGCGATGTGTCCTTTTGTGACTTGAGACTCGTTGGTCTCTCTTGACCGAAGTTTCCTTGCTTTCCTTTGACTCTTTCAGTGTTGGAGCTGGCATAACGGAGAGCTGTGCTCACTTCTCCAAGAACCTGGGATATGTCTGTTCCACTCGTGTGAGAAAGATCAGAGACGTTTTCATAGTGTGGTATTTTCTGGGTGTTCTTTTGAGGGGGAGCAACTTGTGTAGGTTTGGCACCTCGACTACTTTTAGGTATGCCACAGTTAAGCTCCCTTGGTACCACTGGAGGGGGATCATCAGGCTGGGGTGGAGAGGTTGGTGCAGAATGTGTGGAAGGGTACGACTCCAGTTTGGGACAAGGTGGCTGTTTTTGTCTTTCTGTTGTAGTTGCTTTGCGGGAAGCAACAGGTGAATGGTGCACCTCATAGTTGTTGCTACGACAAGGTATCTTTGAGCTGCGTGTTAGCTGAGGGCTGAGACGTGGGGGATTGGCTGCTGGAGCACGCTCTCCAAGGGTAGGAATCTTGAGGAACTTGAGGAGCTTCGAAGGGGAGGCCTTGACTTCTCTAAGGCATGACACTTGGTTTGGACTCACAAGTTTGGACCGGTCAGCCTGAAGCTCTTGTGAGGTGCTGTCTTTGACAGGTACACATATCTCATCCAGCACTCTTGAGGCAGTATGGTTCTCATTGGGAGAAAACAGCAACCCTTTATGCACGGGTTCACTGCTTTCCAACTCACAGTACTGGTCCTGCAAGTTTTCCTTCAGACTAAGAGCAGGCAGCTTGGAGGTGTTGGGAAAGACTCTGTGGACATCAGTGGCTTCCACTTGCAAAACGTCTTCACCTCCTGTGACTTTCTCAAGCCTCTGTGATGCTACAGTATTTAAGTGCTTGAAGTCCTTTTCCAGCAGACTCGCATTGTTTGTACTCTCATCACTAATCTGTTCCTCACAGACACTACTACTTGACCTTTTTGATAATTGGGAGTCCACAAGAAGATCTGACATTCTATTTTTATCTATCATCTCTCTCTCTGTTAGTGCAACGGAACTGGATGGTGTATTATCAGAAACTGTGCTATGGTCTCTTTCTGCCGCTGCCAAGTTATGGTAAGAGTCTGGAGCTTCCGTTGGTGCAAGTTCACTAGACGGGTCAAGGTCTTGTTCCCTTGGAGGAACTGACACCTCAGCAGACTTCCTGTTTACCATGAGTTCACTAGTACCTGCGGCAGGCTTCACAAGGCTCTGTAAGTCTTGGTTCTTGTGAAATTCTGGTGGAGCCAAGTTGAGGTTGTCAATGGTAATGGCATTTGAAGTGCAGCAATTGTGGCTACTGTTGGCTAAAGTGATCGAGTCCTTATTGGATAGCATCAGGCATGTGTTACAGCTTCCACACTTTATACTATTGTGCTCCCCTCCGTTCAAATGCTGATGTGTGCAAACGTCTGAACAGGAATGCGGACAGTGCGATTTTGTCACGTTACACCTGGGTGAGTTGTCTCTGCAGGCCAATACACTGTCCTTGGAGACCAGAGCCTGGCTGTATTCACAGAGGGAAGAGATGCCAGAGGAACGGTGGTAGCGCAGAGGGTCCGTCTCTTCAAGCTTGCGGAGGACCTCCAGAATGTGTGCTTTCTTTTTCAAAAACGGAGATAAGGCCTCCATGGAGGTGGTGGAGCTTTGGGTGTCAGGAAAACAATTTTGTGCACACTCCCCATTTCCCTGCAGAGTAAAATAAAAACATTATTAGGAAAAAAAGAACACTATTTACAGCTATAAACACTTGAACTACACTACAGGCTGGCTCGAACAGCATTTAACAGGCTTCAAATATTTATGGTTTTCAAACGGGTAATTGATTACTGTTCTCAATACTACCCTTCCAGACAAAATATTTCCATTTCATAATTAACTATAACTTTTAGTAATGTTTGTTTCATTTTAGATAGTTCATTTAATCAAAGCATTTTAGTTTTTAATTTGTAACAAAAAATTTAAACACATTGAAACATCCCTTTTTACAATGAATGTCCCAAAGATGCCAACAGATACTTGTGCTGTTATGTTATGTCAGATAAGGCGTCTGACTTGAATTTTGCTTGCTTACACAGTGGCAATGATACAGAAATTACATCAAGATGAAATTCTTTAAAAGAATGGGTGGCCAAATTCATATTTCCTCTCAAGAGAAGTAACTTCTACAGGTGAACATAAAACTAATTCAGGGATAGTGTGGCTGTGCTCATCCTTTAGCTAATATTACCAGGGTATGACATGATTTTAAAATAGCCTAATGTTCTGTCTATCATTAAGTAACTGCCATGTTTTCCTTGTTTTATGATTTAGTGATAAATAAGTCTGAATTGTAATGAATCCACAAGACTGCTCTAGAATTCTGGTGGGTCTAAAGGGTTAAAGAGAACAAGATTCTGAAAACTAAATAAGGAAATGAATATCAACATAATGAACGGAAGCTGGAGTATTCAAATTATTCGGGGCACCCCTATAATACACACGTAAAGCAAGTTAAATTAGATTTTTTTTAAAAGGTCAAGCACTGTGGATATTCTTGGTGCATTGTTTTACCTTGGCTTGTGCATTCCTCTGAGTCTCAATAAGCTTGCTTGCGTCACTGTGTTGTAGCTCAGTTATGTGCTCCAAGCAGGACCCAGTCTGAATTCAAAAGTAAACAGAGTTTTAGAGATCTTCCTGAGATTATGTCCTTCACTCCAATGATACAGCATTCAGCAATTTAGCAGTACGTTTTCTATCTGTAAAATACATATCGGAGTCATTTATCTTTTCTGTACTCCCTCAGAAAGAAAAACCCTTCCCACCACCCAAATAAACAGGAAAGCGCAAATTTTCCTCAATTTGTCATGTAAAACAAACACAACCAGCAAGCATAATAGGACATCTTATACAAAGAGTCTTTCAAGCACGTTAGAACAAAACACAATTATGTCTACACTGGGTCTGTTTTATTACACATTGTTTTTAATATTTGATTCTTAATTTACCTGCTGATGGGCACATGACTGATTGTGCAGTTTCTCTTGGAGGAGTTCACATAGTGTTCTGTTCTGCCTCTCCAAATCAAACACACGCATTTTCAGCTTGATGCACTCCTCGCGAAGATCCTGCAACAAGTTCCCCCATAATATTACTGCCAAAGGTGATGGAAGTACTTTTCAACAGAAATTCTCAAAACAACACAGAACCTACAGGTGGATATCAAAAACTGATGGACTTTACCTTCTGGTTGAGCAGAGCCTGGACGACATGGTTGGCAACCTATCAACATTAAAAACACAAGCATGAAGAATCAAGTTTTATATTTGCTTAAATAAACTTAGACAATATCAATTCGTTACCTGCAATGCTATGTTTTTCATTATCCTACCTTAAAGCAGAAGACGCCAAGAACACTGTGGAAGATGGGATATAAAACAACTCCCTGTCTATCAGTCAGGTTATCAGAACTCACCTCATCCAAGCATCTCTCGTAAGCTTCTCTCTGGCTCTCGTTGGCTAGGGAAAGGGCAGAGTTCTCAGCCTGGTCCAAAACAGAGGGCACTCATTGTTTACCACAGTGATATCGAGCAGATATGCACATGCAAAATTTTTCACAGTAGAGCTATGAGGTAATGTAGCGGAGAAGTGTGACTCACTTGTAGCTCTCGGACGCGCTCCAGGAGCTCACTGCTGCTCTCCTCCTCCAGATATGACTCCAGGTCGCCTTCTTCGGACTCCAGGTCCTCCTCAAGCACTCTGTGCTGGGCCTCCTCCGACATCATCTTCACCTACAGGGAAAAACGCAGAAGCAGCCATAAAGATGTCTGAACATAGTAGCAGTTGTCAATGAGGTGATTTTGTTGTTGAGGACAATAAAAGAGATACAACATACAAAAATAATCTGGCGTCAAATCTTGGCAGCCGAGTTTAGAAGTTAAATCAAAGGTGCCTTTCGTTAAAACGTTAAGGATATGAGTATAAAAAACCATTACAGTGGAATGAAGCACATCCTTTCATGGTGTTCCAAAGATCTCCTTACTACTCCTGGAACAGACAAACAAAAGGTCCAACCCCACTGTGGAAGTGTTGTGTCTAACGGGGTCTCTGTGACAGAGGCAGAATAGGACTAATGGCCCAGGCTTTGGCTACAGACCCACATTAATAGAGAGGATTAGACAGAACTAAGCGTTCTAATCACACCAGTGGATCGCGGCCATGTCACAGCCCTATGACTCCAGCTTAACCTGCATTAGTGACCAGGGCACAGGAGCCCGTTTCACATGGCCTACATAAGCTCCTACAACAAGAGGCCCACTTGACAGTGGTATTTGTTACAACATGTTCGCAATACTTCAGGCCTCTTGTTTTCTGGCTAAGTGAAACAGGTCACTACCTAGTAGAACCATTGTGCAAGGCATTAACAACGCAGTCACCAATCGTAACAAAGAATCAGATTCATCCAGACTAGACTTGACCTTCTCATGCCCTATATGAAGGAGTCCACCCATTCCTGTTATTGCATTACCATAACCTTGACCTTCACTATGCACTTGGGATAATACCAACACGCAGGCTATCCTGTTACAAAACTGAATGTAAAAATCAATTCGCATGTCCATGGCACTCATTCATAATTGATGCCTTTAACGTTGTGTGTGCTACATTATGTCTTAGCAGAGCTGCCTGGCTGTGCTGGCAGTGAACTGGTTTAAATGGATACTCCTCTTATGAAAACAGATGAATACAAAGCCCACTGGGGTCACAGAGCTTTGACGGAGTGCAGTGGGTCAGAGAACACTGCCCCACTTTTACTGTGGAGGATACGCCACAGAGCGGGACTGTCTGCAGCGCTCCGGTGCCAGGAAGCTCCACTCTCTGTTTCAGCTCTCAGTTTTTGAGACAGAAAAAAGGCTGACACTGTTAAATCATAGGATGTTTAGCTTTACATTATGTCATGATTAACTGCTCAAACTCTATTACATGCTTAAAAACGATTGAATATAATTCGATTGAATAAGGTAATTCATTTTTAAAATTCTCCTGGCCTCTCACACAGTATGAAACAGCTTGGACATACCCATTTATATGTATTATCCAATAACTTGCTAAATAAATAAAATGCTAAAAAAATGATAAGAAGTCATACACAGCTAACGACATCACATCACACAACAGCTATGTTTCCATCCAAAGCACTTTTTAACAAAAATGTTTAAACATTTAAGTTAATAAACATTAAGTTTATTAATGTACACCAAAGAATTGGAAATACTCAGTAATATTTTATGAATGTCAACAAGCCTCTTTTCAAATGCATGTCAATCCCAGGGATGTGCACTTGTACTTGAGTTGGTGCCAGTATTCAAAAACTGAAATCACTATTCGGGTATTCATTATGTTTTGTTGTGGAAAGACAGAGAAAACATACAGGTCAACAATTCAATGAAACACGGAAGTTTAGCTCATTTTCCAGAAACAACAAAAATATATTTCCCTGACAAATAACATGCCGGCACACCGCACAAATACCTTGTGTATAAACAACAATCATCAGCATCCAACATGACACTTGTTAGCTCCGCTCGCTCATCTGAAGAGGCAGTCTCCATCAAGCAACCTACTGACACAAAAACCTACTGAGGTCTCGACTGTTTTGAATACTAAAAATCCTCTGCGTGCTGCTATATTTTTGTGCAACAATGGTGCCGTCACCTAAAAAGGTCTACAGTCCTACATTATTTTCGATCAAGATCTGTTCTTTCTTATTTAATGTTATTTTATTTTTATCCCAGGAAGTTATCCCTGTGTTTAACCAGATATCTATTCATGAACAGATATGAATACTTGAATAATACTAATAATAATAATTAATAAATAATGCTTAATTAATAATAATAATAATAATAATAATACTTGAAAAGCAGTCAAAATTCAGATCGAGACGATACTGAAATGTCAAAAAATCCACACACATTTTGTGTCATGAGACAGATTTCCTTCACGTGCCTCTTACAACAAACCACAGAGTAGTGTAGAGGTGGAGCTGGACTGAGGGGGACCTGAGTGCTTCTAAAAGCAAACTTTTCAGCACTTTTAGAAAAAGCTGTATAGAGAAGACTTCAGCCATTCAAAATAGAAAGTACTCAAATGGCTTGATATGGCAGAAATGTAATCTCTCATCTAACAGTTTTAATGAAAAATAAATAATAAGAACATAGAAAATAAAATGAAACAAAATGTGCTTATCAGTGGGTTATATGGAAGTCAGGGAAGCCAAATGTCTTATTTCATTACATACATATGTGACAGCAGTTTTTTTGTTTTTTGCAGAAACATTACATCATGAAATTTAGTTTAACTAAACACAAGGTGGTGAACAGAAAAAAAATGCACATTTTTATCTCTTAAAATTTGTGCAGAAAGTCAGAGGAAATATAGCTCATGTGAGTATGTAGTTTCTAAGGCTAAATGCCTTAAAAGATTGAATAGCAGCCCCCCCAAAAAGTCATTACTCTAGCAATTGTAAACATAATTGGTAGATTTTTTGATTACTAATATATAGTAATACATAAATAGTAAAATCTTTACATTACGGGAGGTCGATATGGAAAAAAAAAAAAACAGTATATCAGAGTACGCAATACATTTCGTGATATTTTAGTTAAAACTGCCATCAAAAACTATAAATACAATGATAATTATTCAATATCACTTAACATTACTGAACTAAATCGAGTTAAACAAGACTGATTATGTTCTCTATCTAATGAAGCATCCAGCTGTTCAGGTGTTTTTAAGTAGTGATATCCACAATATGCTCAGTAATGCATCACAATAAGAAAAAAAACCTTGTAACTATAAAATAGTCATATCGCCCACCCCTTCTTTATGTGATTAGACAGATTTCGTAATGCAATTTTAAGATATTTATGCACTGGATCATTAAAATGAACCCCAGCTTTAGTTTGCTATGAAGTGGTCAAAGTTATGAAGTAAATGCCCTCTGAAAACAAAGGGCCAGCAGAAGCAGTGAATTTGCATCGTGTACAATGAGGCACTACATGGTGCGTACAGCTAGCTTTCAGTAAGACATCCACAAAGTGCTTTCAGCAAAACATTTTGCTTAAGAACTTCTCTTTTCCTTACAAAAACCTTCCCAAGTACTGATAGAGTGGGGTTTATCAAACCAGTTGGAACAACACTGTGCCAGTAGTCATCCATTTAAAAAGCTGTGCAAACATTACACATGTCCATGAACTATATTTAGCAGCAAGCTGAAAAAACAGCCAGACCTGAGAGCTATGAGGGTTTTTTTTTTTTCTGAACAGGGCCGACCTAAAAGGTTGTGGCTGTTTTGTATCTGTTCTTGACTGTGAGCCAAAAATGCTTCTCTTACACAGAACTGGAAAGCCATTGAGACGCACGCGGTAATGAATCCAGAAAAATAGCTTATTGGGTATAAGACACTGGGGCCCAAACCAAACAAAGCATAATCCGCTTCATATAGATTGAATGCCAAGTTTATATGACCACCATTGTGTGCTGGATATTGCTAGAGGAGGTAAACCTTTCAGCAATCCAGGTCGGTTTTCTGGGTTCTTTCTAACGAAAACAACTTGCTTTAAAATTACAAACCTCCTTTCAGAGCTACACGTCACAATTATATACATGTACGTGAAGCTTTTGTCTGCCGGTGGAACATGTGCGAGGATGGTGATTTTCCAAAGCGGAAGTCAAACCTCCTGACACCAATAAGTCTGAACACAAAAGACCCTGACCCTGGATACATCTGTCATCCAGAACTATTATTCAGGAGTGAATTAGCTATGATGGCTTTAAACAAGCAAAAGTGGTAAACTGGTAGTGCTAATGAAACCATTTCTGAGTGTCTCAGAAATGCTACTAGTCCTGTTGAACAGTATAAACAAAAAATGTGCATAATTTTACATTCGACTGCTAACATCAGGGTTCATGCTAGAAATGAGACAGCACACTGGATGCCTTTGGTCCATCTTTTACTCCGCACCCCTGGTGGATCTCCCTGGGTTCAGACTGCACAGGAAGTCGAAATTCCCCCCTCAGGAGATTATCTGAGACGCCGCATGCAAGGCCGCCACCAGGCTTGCTCATCTTTCCTTTTCATCTCTGAATCACTGGCGGGCAATGAAAAATTAATGGATGAGTAAGTCAAATCCACTGAGGCAGCAGCTAAGAAGTCTAATTTGAAGTGTTTGAGATAATAGTGGCGGCGGAGAGCAGACTGCACACACAGCGATTTGTGCAGTCGCCTTCAATCAGGAATTTCCCTGGACTATGAAGTATTCTCCCAAGGTGATGTTTTAAATGTTCCAAATAACCTTAGCAATAGCCCGGCTTCCACACACAAGAGAGCACTGAGCTGTATAATGAAGTTCGTGAATGCAGTGCCTGGCTTTATGAATACTACACAAAAATCATTTTGCCAGTTGCAGAAAACCTCATCAACAAATCAGATCATAGGGAAAGAGAGACTGTTAACATGGCAGACAGGCAGATATTCTGATCTTTTATCAACTGATAATGATAGCTGATAAAGTGCTGCAAAAGTTAACACACTGAAAACATGCACTAAAAACATTGCTGTTAACAATTAAACGCCGTCTTCTAGTACGAGTAGTGTCAACAACAGTAGTACAGACTGAAGCCAAGCTGCTATGAAGGAATTCGAGATTGCAGCTCTCTCCTTCAAACACAGCTTTTACATGGCTTACATTTGGCACCTTAGGTCATGAATGGACTATTGACCAGC